GCTCCTTTGCCATTGCAGTTTCCACATTTTAATTATATGTCGTTTGATTATGCTGGTCCTTTCTGTTTTTCCAAGTCCTACATCTATTAAAACATCACATTTTGCTCCCTTTTTGGCTGCTATGTCAGCTTTTTCATTGCCAATTACACCTCTGTGTGCTGGTACCCATGCAATGGTGACTTGGCATCCTTTATTCTTGAGCTGAGTTGTTAGATTTAGGATTGTCTCTTTAATATCTGGTCTACTGTTAGTTTTATGTGTTTTTTAACGTCTGCACCGAGGACAATGAATCTGTCAGTATGGTAAATTTAGTTGGAGGTTTATTAATTACCATCTCTAGTGCCTTCATTATGCCGACTAGTTCTGCTGTGCATACTGCCACATGATCTGTTATTTTATATTCTCTTTGTATATTCCACTGTGGGATTATTACTCCTGCTCCTACTTCTCCTGCTTCATTCTTTGATCCGTCAGTGTATGCAACCAGATTGTCTGATCGGATCTGGTCTATGTATTCTTCTGTTATTGCTTTGGCTTCAAATGTTTCAGTATTCTTTTTAATAATTTTAATCAGACTCATGTCTGTCCTGGGCAGCTCTAGTCTCCATGGAGGGATTTGAGGGACAAACCTAACGCTTGCCTCTAGAGTCCTGGCTAAGTCCTCATCATCGTTAATTTCTAGTGCAGCGTCCCAGGCTGCTGGTCTCTGTATGTCTCTGACCGGTTTGTCACCTAGGTGGGTAATGTTATGATGGAAAGCGTCTGAAGCTGGGTGTCTGGCATCGTTGGCCGCTTTCATCCAATAGTTTATTGAGCTGGCATATTTTGGCATATTTGAGTTTTTCCTGGCTTTTCTTATCAAGACGTGCTCACATTTTCTTCATAGTTCCTCCGTTAAAAACACGCAGATTTACTAAAAGCAATGTGGATCTACAGTTAACAGCTTTATTTCAAAGCAATGTTTTCCCGTAGTTAATTTGAGCAAAGAAGACACAAACAATAGACTGCACAATTTTTTGACTGGCATATTTACTACTGAAGTATGCTCCTGAGGAGATACAGTGAAATATGCCAGGCAATTAATTTTTCTTCTTCTTTCGTTCGCTTGAAAAGATAATCTATATCTGCAATGCTGTCTCTATTATGAACTTCACTGTCTTTTGTAACTTACTCAGCGACCCGTAAAATTTGACTTGAACCGATGTTTCTTTTGGCAAAAAATTTTGCCTTGATATGTCTTGGAGGACATGATCTGTTGTCTCAGGTGCCAGTCCATATGTGCACATGGCTGATTCGCCGATTAAAAATTGTGTGTACATGTGGCTGTGAAGTCGATTGTGTCCTGTAGTAGTAAAAATAGCAAATTTTACACCACCAGGATATCACACAAGCGATAAACACCTGATGAACAAAGTGCCACCCTGCGGATGAGGATCACCCGTGGAGAGGTCTGGGAAACCGTTTTCATCCATTAGACCATATTTATGGCTATATTGCGGCTCCTGACAAGAGCCAGGGTGGGGCTTCAGAATAACGAAAAAATTGCATCCCACAAAGGGATGACGATTAGAATGTTTATGTAATAATGTGTCCTGTTCTAAGGCGTAGAATAATAACTTGCTCTGGTCTGTCCATAAAATGGTAATCGTCTTGTGCCAGTTTTGGTGGCTTTCTGATTGATTTGATCATTCTCTACTTTTGTTGAAAAGAGACTAGTACGCCAGGTTGTTCTTCATTTGCACCTTCCTTAGCTAGTTTATCAGCTCTTTCATTTCCAGGAACTCTACAGTGGGACGGTATCCATTGCGTAGTTACCTTACACCGGCTGCCTAGTTTGAAGTCATCATCATCATGTAGCAGGCCCTTTGCAGAACGTCGCTCTTATCACAGTTTTCCTGAAAGAAAGTCGGTATCTCGCCAGTTCTCCCGCCTCATGTGCCTTCATACCCAAGGAGTCACTTATATCTTGTGTCCATCCTCTTGTCAGTCGGCCCCTGCCCCTCCTTCATGGTACCATGCCTTCTGCTAGTTTGGAGAGTCATTCATTCATTCAGTAGCATGTCCCTCGCGGAACCTCGCTGCCATAACAACCCTCCGGAAAACCTTCCTATCCTGAGCAAGATGTCCTGCGTCTGATACACCCATCTGGAGATCATCTGCCACATCCTGCACCCATCTTCTCCTTGGCCTTCCTCTTCCTCTCTTCCCAGGCATATACCCCTCCATTATTGTTCTCTCTAGACTTCCATGACGTTTCAAGTGACCAAAATATTTCAATTTTCTTTGTTTTATTGTCTTTACTAGCCAACCCTCTTCAATATTCAGCTCTTGAAGTATGGATGCATTTGTTCTTTTCTTTACCCAAGATATTCTTAGAACCTGTCTGTAACATTTATATTCAAATGCATTTATGCGCTGTCCCGCTTGTTTAGTAAGTGTCCAGGTCTCACAGGCGTATGTTGCAATGGGAAAGATGCATGCTCTTAAAAATCTGACCTTTGTAATTCTATCTGTACAATTCCATAATTTATTCAGTTGTTTTAGTCTTTGAAGAGCAATTGATAGTCGCCGTTTAATTTTTGGAGAGTACATCTTTAATAATCCGAGTAGTTTCCCCTATATGACAATAGCCAATCAGATTCTCCCTAGAAACCCGTTCCACGATTCGATTTCAGAAGTTGCCGCGGCAGAGACAGGGTTGGTTTTTTCACTCGTCTGCAAATTCTGTCTTTTAAAAACAAACAGAAAAGGTACTATATGAGCTGTACATATGTAAGGAGATTGACAAATTATTGTGTATGTTGACCTTATTCGCTCCCGTGACTCGATTTGAGAAGTGCCTAAAATAAACACTTGTCTTAAGTTTGAAGTTTGTTTAAAAATTAAAAAATAGCAATTCAGCAATCAAATAATATATAATTATATATAAACTATGATCTATCAACCTCGGTTATAGTATAACTTATACTTATACATTGAGTGGATATGTGTAAAGTGTTTCTTAATTCACTGCGTCCACTTCGTTGACTAAACTGAGACTATAATGATATTGGACTAATTTATATCATGTGGATATTTTGTCTGGAACAGCAATGGCAAACTAATGGACGTAAACTTGCCTAGAAAAACCACAACAATACAATCAAAAAAATGCTGGGGTTGGTTATGCAACGTCCTGTTACGCAAGTAACTAAGTGGCTATTTCAGCGGCCTACACAAAGAATAAAATGAAGTTTTACTCGTAAACATTTTTTTGTCACCCCTACGCCCCTAAGTTGTAAACTGCAAGATTAACACACAGGAGACGTTAATCGGATGGTAAACAGGAGAAAATCTATACCTGTTAACTGCTTTTTTTCTCCTCTTGGATGTCTATTTGTTCACCCAAAGCTCAGCTGTGGAGTGGATGAACAACCTGGACTTTCCACTGGAGTTTACAACTTAAAAAATTTTTCTTTTAAATTATTATAATTATAAGATATTATCTTTTACCTATTTACATTTGCAGTCATTTTGATTTCTTCTTTATTCATGATTTGTTTTGATGGGAAGCTTACTAGTTTATGTTATAACTGGTATAACCAGATAATCTTGTATAAGTTAAGCTGTTCGGGAATCCACATTCTTCTTCTTCTTCTTCGTGTTCACCAGCTGTAAACTCTGGTGAAAAGTTCTGGTTGTTCATCCACTTTTGGACTGCAGTCCTGTTCCAGAACCTGAGTGTTGTGTGTGCATCTGTTTTATAGTCTGGCTCTTTTGTATGCAGACTGCTGGTTCCTTGCCTCTCAGGCAGATGCACTCTGACTTCGAAGGAAGCTCCTAGTTAGTTGACTCTTACAACATGCTTTAGGGTAGGCAGTGGGTCTATTCTTGCTTTCCCTATAATAGGGCCCGGAACCCACACAGGGATCCACATTCTGATTGTACACTCGTACACTGGTATTAATTTATATGAGAAACAGAGGGAATGTAGCCACCAGTGACAATTTCTGTTTTGAAAAAATTGATAGTTTGCTGTCATTTTCACCCATCTTTCACCAACTGGAGCTTGTGAGAAAAAAGGCAAAGAATGGTAACACTAGCCTTCTGTGTCTGTTGTAAGATATAGCCTCCCCTTTGGGTTCCGGAGCCCTATTTTAGGTGAAAAACAAAGAATAGACCTACTGCTCCCATAACAGGCATGTTGTACAAGGTGACTAGTGGGGGGTTCCTTCGAAGTCAGAGTGCATCTGAGTGGCAAGGGACCAACAATCTGCATACAGATAAGCTAGATCTGTAAAATGGATGCTACAAAACTGAAGTCCTGGAACAAGACGAAAGTCCAGAAGTGGATGAACAACCAGAACTTTCAGCCGGAGTTACAGCCAGTGAACTTTAAGAAGACCAGATAGCGACAGGTAGAAAAAAATGAAGCTGATTGTGGATCAGATATATTTTGTTTTTGAATTTTCTACTTCTGTTGTAAGATATATTTATTGCTAGTGACAAATTGACCCTTTTAGTTTTAGGGAAGGTGAGCAAACCTACACGTATGAAACTATTACTTGCTCTTGTGAATACACTGTCTTGACTTATGACCATCTGCACTTTCCCCCAAAAAAAAAAAGTAAAGAAAGAAACAATAACTGCATCTGTAGAGTCAAAATAAAATCCTGGAAATGATGCAATAGAGTGAATATTATCTATTTTTTCACATATACAATAATTATGTGTACATATATGATTTATTTGTTTTATGTTAAAAATTTTATAACCCATTTGAATGAAATAAAGTGTTGAAAAATGTAAATTTTGACGACAAAGTAAACTTACGACTGTTAGTAGTAGCGTAGGCCAAAGTACTTTGATTTCACTTGAATGAAGTTTATTGAATTTGACTAAAAAAATTTTTAATGTCCTAGTCAGCTCTGTGTGATTACTGGGAATCAGCTGAAATTTGCTACTAAAGGATAAATCTTCCTCTGTCCACAGATAGAGCCTGTTAGCTGACAACTACAAAAATGGACAAAAACTTGGCAATAGCCAAGCAAGAGGAGAAAGAAAACAGCAGTGATTCTGGGCCAGTGTTAGTATCTTAGTATATTACATGTATCTTAGTTTATTACATGTATCTTAGTATATTATATGTATCTTAGTGTATTGCATGAATCTTAATATATTATATGTATCTTAGTATATTGCATGGATCTTAGTATATTACATGGATCTTAGTATATTGCATGTATCTTAGTATATTACATGGATCTTAGTATATTGCATGTATCTTAGTATATTACATGGATCTTAGTATATTATATGGATCTTAGTATATTACATGGATCTTAGTATATTATATGTATCTTAGTATATTGCATGGATCTTAGTATATTACATGGATCTGTATATATGGCAGGTTATTCGGTCTTCTTCTTTCTCACATATTGTTATTGAAAAATGTATACACTAGTTCGTTACAGTGTTCATGTAAATCTCTTAATTGGATGCCTTTATTTATCCAGTGTTTCTTGTATATATATATATTTTGATAAATCGGTTTGTATGTAATAGAAAAAACATTGCATTACATTATAAGATTTTTTCCACTTGTGTAGCAAATGGAGTCTGAATGACTTTGAAATAGGGAGACCACTTGGGAAAGGCAAATTTGGGAATGTCTACCTGGCAAGAGAGAAGAAAAGCAAATACATTGTGGCTCTGAAGGTTTGTGTACTATCTGAATTAGTTTGAATGTTGAATCTGTAACACAGGCATTTATAACTCTTTAGTAATAAATGTGAGGAGTCAGTTTGAATGTTTAATCAGTAACACAGGGATTTATAACTCTTTAGTAATAAATCTAAGCATTCAGTTTGAATGTCGAATCTGTAACACAGGGATTTATAACTCTTTAATAATAAATGTGAGGAGTCAGTTTGAATGTCGAATCTGTAACACAGGCATTTATAACTCTTTAGTAATAAATGTAAGGAGTCAGTTTGAATGTTGAATCTGTAACACAGGGAATTATAACTCTTTAGTAATAAATGTAAGGAGTCAGTTTGAATGTTGAATCTGTAACACAGGGATTTATAACTCTTAGTAATAAATATGATGAGTCAGTCAATTTTGCATGCATCAGTTCTGTAACTGTAGTTTTATTTCTTAAACTGACTTGCATATGGCCTGGGCTGTAAAGTCTCTCTACAAGCAATGCTTTCTAATGTTTCTGTTATGTATCAGTCCTTGAGCCATCTTACCCTATTATGGTTTAGAACTACTTCTTCTTCTTCTTTGCATTCACCAGCTGTAAACTCCAGTAGAAAGTTCTGGTTGTTCATCCACTTCTGGACTGCAGTCCTGTTCCAGAACCTGAGTGTTGTATGTGTATCCGTTTTACAGATCTGACTCATTTGTATGCAGACTGCTGGTTCCTTCCTCTCAGCCAGATGCACTCTGACTTTGAAGGAAGCTCCCAATTAGTCCACTCCTACGACATGCTTCTGGGTAGGCAGTGGGTCTATTCTTGTTTTCCCCATAATAGGGCCCCAGAATCCACACAGTTTAGCACTGTCTAGTATTTTTATGTTAAGTTGTGACAAAAATAACAAAAAGGTGCTAATGTTTAGCTACCCAGTGCTGTAGAAAATCTTAGCTGTGAAATGCAACCAGTCATGAATAGGTTGGTTCTGTACCACTGGGTGGTGAATTGATGCATGAAAGACTATGTGCGGTCAAGGCTCTCTGGGAGTAGTTTTACAATGTGGAGGTGCAAATGGATCATTACAGTCTGGGAAGAGGGGGATCTGGCCGACCCAGCACTCGGAAGAAGGGCAGATACAAGTATATCACACTGCTGTTGGTGCATTGGGGTTTGAAGATGGGGACAGAGCACTTATGGGAATATCCCACATGCTTTGATGTCAGTGTTGTTTAAAAAACAAAAATGCAACTCGCCCCACCCATAAACAAATATACAAAGAGCTTGGTTTTAGTCGGTTTAGAGCAGGGTGGTGTGAGCAGCCTTCTTTGGTCTGCAGGCCAAATTTAGAATACCATCCTGGCTACGGGTCGCTGATTCTGATGTTGATATTGGAATTTTTCTTTCTCCTTGCGAACAAATGTGTTTGTATTCTGCCATTTTTTAAACTCAAGGGCCAGATTATTTAGTAATCCTACATCAGCCTCGCGGGCCAGTAACAATTGCTCGGCAGGACAGTTTGGCCCGCGGGCTGTAGTTTGACCACCCCTTATTTAGGCGTATACTCCATTGGGTGCTCTGTTTTCTAACCCAGGCGCTACACATGAAAAGATGTGAAGTGAAAGCAAGAGGCCACTCTGGGAGAACAAGGATTGATGACATTAAAGAGCTTCTACATTGACACCGAATGACAATAGCCATTTCTGCCCATCAAGCAGTGGATCGCAAATTGTTCCTTCCCATAACGCTTAACGGCAGAAGTTTATATTGATGATGATGATGACTCCATTGGAAGGTGTGAAGCAGATGAAGAGGAAGTAAATATCCAACTGATATTTTGACTGTTGTTTAGGCCAGTTACTATTTTATATTTCAGCTCATGTTTAAATCCCAGCTGCAGAAAGCACAAGTGGAGCACCAGTTGCGGCGAGAAATTGAAATTCAAACTCATTTAAGGTAATAATTAACCTGTTTTCATTTGGTAATTATACAAATCTTGTTTCTTTAGAAGAGAAAAACAAGTGTTAGTACACATATGTATCAGTGTAAGTGTTTATGTAGTTAAAAAAAAAAGGTAAAGTCTGGAGATGTGCACCAACGTTAAAAACCATAAGTGCTGTGCCACCAGTACTGACAGCTGATAATAATTGTCCGCCTGTGTCGCCGTCAGCATGTAACTCTGTAGCTACAGCGACGTTCCTCCATTTACCTCAGAGTGTCAACTCGTACCCATTTCCTAGAGGCTGGGTGAACCCCGGGAACCGCCCGGTTTCGAACACCGACCATGGCCTCAGCGAGTCGCAGCTGGATTTGAAAGCGAGCCTCCTATCGTCTGTGCAAACGCGACATCCGAGAAAAACAAGTGTTAGTACACATGTGTATCAGTGTTAGTGTTTATGTAGTGTGCATGCATAGATGTTCAATTTGAAATAAAGCTGTTTAAAATTGTGTCTGTGTGTATTTCAGTGGTATTTGTTATATCCCAATGTTTCACAGGCACTTTTTCTGTGTGGGTAAGGAGCCTCATTGTGTGGAGGGAAGAGGGAGCCCAAAAAAACCACATCTGCATCTGCCTGAGAGGTGAAGAACCAACAGTCTGCATACAAAAGAGACATCTGGGAAAATGGATGTGAATGGGAAAACTCATGTTCTAGAACAAATCTAAAGTTAAAAAGTGGAACGAACAACCAAAACATTCTGCTTGAGTTTACAGCCAGTGAATGTAAAGAAGAAGACAAGCTGTTGACAGAATATTTGTTTAATTAACAGTTTATTTATAAAAACATTTATGTGGTCAGTGGAGTGGCTGGCCGAACGGTTAGAACACTAGGCTCTCACGTGGGAGACCCAGGTTCGAATCCTTGGTACGGCTGGGGATTTTTTTCATAGTTTCGTTGCCCAGCTTCTGAGTTGAGTGCATGGCGTAACACTGTGAGCTGCGGATTTCATTTAAACTGTGATAAACATTTTATGTGTTTTTTCGTTGGCACAGGAGTGGAGCAACTATGGGGCGACCCGTTTGCTATGAAGCTGAAACTAAGATTACCAGATTACCTGAGTGTAAATAAACAATGTGGGGAAGGAATACAACATCACAGTTCATATGTTTGTGTATGAACTGATTGAAGACGAGGGCTGTTGAAATCATCACTTCTCTGGCAGTCATACCTTCCATTCTTTATTTTCTTGCATTTTAAAGAATCGGTCTCCGTTTAAGTTTTGTTTCTTCTTGAAATTTGCGATTTTTAAATATCAGTTGTTCTCTTTTAGACACCCACATATTTTGAAGCTATACGGATACTTTTATGATGATAGCCGAATCTTCTTGATCCTGGAGTATGCCCCCAAGGGAGAATTGTATAAGGAGCTGCAGAGGAATAAGAGATTTGATGATGCAAGAGCAGCAAAAGTAAGTTTAATCTGGCTAGTCACAAATTCATTCAAGTTTTAAAATAAAAACAGTAAAGACACTTTACTGTTATGCCTGCTTTGGCAGAAAACTGAACAGGTTGTAGTGCAGTGGTTTTCAGCCTAGGTGTGGAAAGGGGGGGGGTGGGAGGGTGCTGAAGAAGGTTGAAAATCACTGTTCTAGTAAATGGGAGTGCGGAAAAGACACTGGTGCTGGGTAGGATACACATTCAAGAATGTCCCGGAAGTGGAAGCCACAGGTCTAACAAAATGACCGGCTGTTCTCTCTTGATGTTGTCCTCTCACTTTTATCACTGTCTACTTCTTTCTCTCTTGCATTTGACTGTCCTTTCCAGTATAATTTTTTTAAAAGAGTGTTTCTCCTGTTGGACTGGCATGCAGGATGCAACTGTTTTTGTTGCAGGGGCTCCAGACCTTCACGTAGAAGCTGGAAGCTGAGAAACAAGCTTATTGTTATGAATGCTTTAAAATATAGGACTCATCTACACATGGTTAAATGTTCGGTGACTGATTTTGACTGTGAATAAGATAATAACTACGTTGTTAAAGGCGAATAATTAAGGGTAACTGAAATCTGATGTGTTGGGTCAAAAGGTACAGCTGTCACATGCCAGCTGTAAGCCACAACTTGCCAACCGCCCTTTTAAGGTGAACACAGAAGACATTGGGAGTGGAATAACTACATTTGACTGAGACAGAAATAAAGCAGGCAAAATACTGAGACCACTTCATCTAACAAGGCACTTGATGTTGATGATTAGTTTATTATTGTAAATACATTGCACACTATTATCTTCCTTTTTTTTTTTTTGGCATTATGATATGACATGGGGTGACTTCTCTGCATCTCTAGTACATAGCCCAGCTGGCTGATGCTCTAGCTTACTGCCACACCAAGAAGGTCATACACAGGGACATCAAACCAGAGAACCTGCTGCTGGGTCTGAAAGGTGACCTCAAAATTGCAGACTTTGGATGGTCTGTACATGCTCCATCCTCTAGGTATTTCATCTCTTCTCATTTGTTGTTTTGCTTTTTAAAAACAAAAACAAACAAACATTCCATGAACATGCCTGAAAGTGGTGCAGAAATGGGTTCTTTATTAATATCTTACCAAGATGTCACAGGACAGTCCAACATTTTAGAAGGTGGTAAGCCTGGGTTTCGTGGCTTTCTGGTGCTTTTAACAAGCCCAAAACATGTAGAACTGGCCCTAACCACAACCCACCTACGTCTCATGAGAGAGTGCAGCCTAGGTCCCACAAATGCCTGCAGCCTAGGTCCCACGACTGCATTCAGCCTATCTACCACCCCCTGAAATATTAGACTGTTCTGTGACCTGTTGATTTCCCCTGTTTGAGGTAGGATATTAATAAAGCACCCAGAAATGTTGACTGTTGAATAAATAACAAATGTCCTAACTCAATATATTAAATGAGGCACATATTACAAAAAAGTTCATTTATTTTAAACTAGTCTCAAAGTGAGGAAGTTGTAGGGGAAAAGAGACAGAGGGAGAAATAGAGAGAAGATGCAGGGCACTTTGACAGCATGCCATAAAGAACATCTGTTAGAATTGATTGAAAGTATGCGAGACAGAGGGAGCTGCCATGGTGTAACAGCTAGTTACTTGCCTGTGGATCTGAAGGTCTTGGGTTCAAGTCCTGATGGAGTTGGATTTTTTCGCAAATGACTGGCTCGACCCAGTCTTAAATGGGTACCATGTAAAGTCCTGAGAAGTGAAAGGCGGCCGTTGTGACGTTGACCATATAACCCACTGAGTGCCGACTGGCCTATAAAATATAGGTCTAGCCCTAAATGCCCAATATGTCCGAAAGTGTGGAAAAGGGTCTTTTACCAAGACGGACATATAACCAGATTTTGACCGGTACCATCAGTACTGGAACTCTGCGCTGGCTGCTGAAGATGAGGACGGAGCACACATAGGAATGCCCTGAGTGCTGTGATGTCAATTCTTGACTCAACTCAAATGTTATGTGAAAATTGCAGATTTCTGGTTTTCATGAAGAATGATAACACCATGGACAGATAAAAACATAATGGTGTCTTAAAATAAATTGCTTAGAGAACAGATTGTGTCAGAAGTCAATCTACATTTTTTGGCACAACTTGGGAAAAAAACTGACTGCTCTGAGTTCTTGCTGTTACTTAACAATAAATGGGTGATAGGGTGGTTTGTTTGTTTTGACGTTACTTAACCACCTATTTAATCGCAAGCAGACGTCAAACCATGTGTGGAACTCTGGATTACCTACCACCAGAAATGATAGAAGGGAAACCTCACAATGAATGCGTGGATCTGTGGAGTTTGGGTGTGCTGTGCTACGAGTTCCTTGTGGGCAATCCCCCCTTTGAGGCTGAAGGCCACACAGACACATACCGGAGGATTTGTAAAGTGGATCTCAGGTTCCCAGAGTATGTTTCTGAAGGGGCAAGAGATCTGATTTCCAAAGTAAGCTAAAGATGTATTCTTCTTCTTCTTTCATTCACTTAAAATATATTATCTAAATCTGCAGTGTTGTCTTTAGTATGAACTTCACTGTCTTTTGTAATTCACTTTGCGACCCGTTAAGTTTGACTGCACTGATGTTTACCTTGGTCAAAAGTTTTGCTTTGATATGTTGTATTTGGGACACTCTTAGAGGACATGAATTCCACATGTGCACATGGCTGATTTGCCCATTTTAAATTTTGTGTGAAAGATGTATTTTTAAAACAAATTGTTCAATGAAATTTTTGCAAACTAATACCAAACTGCAAGAACAGTAAGTCAAAGGTGTATTTTAAAACATGAAATGTCAAATTAGATGTCACAGGCTCCAAAAAAAAAAGATTTGATGAAAAGAACTTTTTGAAGCTGATTGTTGCAGAATGCTTAGAATGAGCTAAAAAAAAAGGGGGGGGGGGCAGAGAGAGAGAGTTAAAATGAACAAATTCTGAAATACATTGGACAGAATAGACATCTGCTGAATATCATACAAAAAAAAGATCATCTTGGCTTGAACACAGTTTAAAACATGATGGCCTGTTACTGAAAATACTGGAGGGCAAGATCCAAGCTGGGAGCTAAAGCAGTGCCCAGTGTGTCAAAGGCATGAACAATGATACTTTACTTTTTCTTTTTATAATGGAATACAGAACAAGTTTTTGTTATAAATTCTTCTTCCATTTACACTATCTAAGTGTTTGGGGGGGGGGGGGGGGGGGGAGATGTAAGGATCTTCTATGTGTTCTTTCTAATGCATTGCATAAGCTGATCTTAATTTCTTTATGACTATTGTTAATGCTGTTGTTCCAACTTCTTGTTCTGTTAACATTTCCCTTTACATTGTGAAGTCACAGTTCTGGCTTTAAAGGATTTTAACCAACTGAACTTGTGCTGCATTGCTTTTAGAAGCTTATAACCATTAAATTGTTTTTTAAAAACTGATATTTGATTTGTGTGTGTCTGTCAAACTAGCTGCTTCGGCATGACCCCAGAGCAAGACTACCTTTGGAAAGTGTACTCAAACATCCATGGATTCTCAAGTACACACAAGAGTTGAACACTGCATCACAGTCCTAATATCTGCTGCTGACTTATGCCAACTTAGAGACCTTGACATTTCCCAAGCCAAACACACAGTCTTGATCAACTAGTTATCAATGAAGGAACTATATCAGAATTTAAAAAAATATTTCTTTACCCTTAATGTGATGACTTTTACCCATAAATCACTACTTGATGGTAATTTTAACTCTGTATGAATTGTTCCTTTACATATTTCTTAGTTCAAACTTGTATTTAAGTTAGTAACAGTTATTACCAATTCTATGCAAAGTGCCATTTCACATGTTAGCTATAAGTTTATAACTGTTATTAGCACTGTGTACTAGTTGTTACTTTAAATATTATATCCTAGATACCTAGCATTCTTTAAATTAAGACAGGCATTACATAAACTCTATTTTACTGACTCAGGATTGCTTTATTTTAAAATAACGGTCTGAAAACTGAAAGAGTTTATTTATACATCAAAGACATTTATGATGCGACAGAAAATGTCATATTAACAAAAAAAAACTGCACTTCATTGGCTGTTGTTCTAAACTGAAATTGTGTATGTGGACACTGGCTGTCTAGATAAATTTCAGAGCAGTACCTGCAGATGTTCACTTCACTTTAGCACTTAGACTGGGTGTGCCTAAATTTCTGATACCTGGAACATTGCAGTAATCTCTGGATTAACCATAATCGAACAGGTACAATTTTGTTGATTAATTCATATTCTTCTTCTTCTGTGCTCTGTATCTCCCAATGGATCACAGGTGTTCAAACAACTCTTGTAAGATTGTCCAGTCCTCTGCTATAGTAGCATGTGCATGCAACACACATTTTTTAAATTTCACTCTTTCTGATTCCCTTCTCCATGTATTTTTAGGTTCTGCTTGTTCTTTCACCCTGTGGGTTCCAGTACAAGAACATTCATAATGTTTGACCATAAAAATAAATAATATTTCTCTAGGCTCATGTTGCTCTTAGAGAAAGTCAGAAAAAGACTCGCTTTAGCAACGTGAGTTAAAGTAAAAAGGTTATGTATGATGAATCTTTCCTGTAGCAGCTTATGAATGTCATTTAGACTTTTACTCAATCAATGAAGAAAAATTAGGAGCTTTTGAACTGAAATGCTACAGAAAAATTCTTTGAATTCTAAGGACCAAGGAGAAGAGAAACACAAATATCCTACATGATCTACACACATCAAGGAGATTTGGCTCACAAACCTGTCCTGAATGCTGAGGTATTCTGGCCATGTCAAAATGCTGCGGCGGCCTGGAGAGAATGGTGATAGAGGGTAGTTTCCGGAGAACAAGGCAGAGGCAGACCTCTGTGAATGTGGATACAAGACATTGAAGATGCCCTGGCTATGAAAGCACATAGGGCTGGAGAATAAGCTAGAGAAATATAGGCTTTCAGGCTTGCCATGATGACAAAGATGTTCTTAAAATACCTGCTGACTGATGATCTTGTTTCACTTCTTGTACTGTTTGAGAATAGACTGTGACTTTGACCGGCTGATGCTTCTAATGTTTATATTAAATATCTGTATATAGCACCTTATTTACTTTACTATTGTGATGTAGTCATGATATGCAAACATGTACCAGTATATTGGGAAAGCATCTGGCCAAGCAACAGAATACTAGCTTATGATTTCAGAGCCCTAGGTTCAAGTACTTGGCAAGGTGATGAAATTTTTGTCTGTCAGTAAATTCCCAGCATGCACAGTTTATAGCAACTGGATCTAACCATGTGGCCCCTCATTTTCAAGCTTCTTTTTATGGTAGCATTATTGAGAGTTGTGTAATACCTGTGGCTTCTGTTCTGCCATGGTCCCTCTAACAAGTATGTACTATTAGACTAATTAGAGGTGATTCCGCTAAGTCGCAGTGCATCTGCCCGAGGTGAGGAACCAAAAGACTCCATACAAATCAGCATATCTGTCAAAATACTTACTCAAGTTCTGTGACAAGACCAAAGTCCAGATGTGGACGAACAACCAGAATTTACAGCTGGTAAATGCCAAGAGGAAAGATGACATGTCACATACCACTGACAGTACTGAGTCAGATATGGGACTACCTTTACCATAAAGTGTTGAAAGTACGTACTGTTGATAACACTTCTTGGTGTTTACTCATTAAATACATTTCAAAAGAAGTAGATAAGCATTTTACGTGTCACTATGACATACTCTAGATATACAAAGTTAAGTACCTACATTTGTTCTTTTAGGATTTGTTTTTAAATATTCATAGCCAGAGATGCATTCTGTCTGTCTGTAACATATTCTCTTTAATATCATTGTGTTCTCTGTTAAATTGTTCAAATATGACTGTACCTGACATTACTGTATTTTTGTAAATAAATTTACATTGCGCATATTGGTTTTTTTTTTGTTTTGTTTGCAAGACCACTTTAACCCGTGAGTAAAGTAAAAAAAAAACCTTTTCATGCCTTTAGGTGCATCGGTCATATGGAAAGAGCACCCATATTTTGATAGACCAATCAGCTCTAGGTGTTTAATATGGTCAGCATTATGCCGGCTCTCTTATGCTTTCCCAGGACATACATCATTGTACCCATTTTAGGTTTAGTTGACTTGCGACGCCCCATAAGTAAAAAAAAAAGTAAAGTTCCCTTTTCACGCTTTTCGGCGCATCGGGCATATGGGCAGAGCGTCCCATATTTTTACAGACCATCAGCACTCTGTGGGTAATGTGGTCAGCATTACGCCGGCTGTCTTTACTTTCCCAGGACAGCCCATCCTGGTACCCATTTTAGGCTGGGTCAACCTGCGACATCCCACACCACGACAAAAATCCACGCAGCCTGCAGTGGGTTTCGATCGCGGTATGCTGGCTTACGAGTCGGACTCGCAACGCCTTAGCCACGGACGCCGCTGCGACGCCCCATACCATGATAAAAATCCACACAGCCAGCATCAGGATTTGATTGCGGTATGTTGGAATTACGAGTCAGAGTTGCAACACCTCAGCCACGGATGCCACTCAAACCCATAAGTATCTTACAAAAATTAACTTTTTTTCTCTTCAAAATTTCATTTAAAGAAAATGCATTTTTATTCTAAGAAATTCTCCCCCAAGGAGGAAGAGAAGAAGAAGAAGCATAAGATGTTTAAAGTCTCAGTCAGTTTTTATTTAAAAAATCAAATTCAGAGGTTCAAACCTATGGTTACTGAGCAGATAGGCAAACCTGCTAGCAGTCGCATCACTGTCTTCATTCCCCCCAAGTCAGTAAACTGTGGTCAACTAAAGGATTTGATTGCTAAATTCATTTCTTTCACTCCCTCTAACTAAGGAAATATACGGCTTTCTTAACATAACCCCAATGAGCAAAGTGACATCATAAATTTATTATGATGTAGCAATGACATAACCCCCCAAAAAAATGTTTCACCTCCAAATATTAAAATTCTAATTTTACCCACCTTGTCTACACACATGCAGTTTCAACCAACACCAGTGCAATTATACAGACCTAGTGACCACTGCCAAAAGATACACTATGCAGTTTCAACCAACACCAGTGCAATTATACAGACCTAGTGACCACTACCCAAAGATACGCTATAAAAACCTGAGCAGCCTAGACTGTGGCATTAACGGTTCACGATAGATAATGAAGCAGAAGTATTAAAAATTTTTTTTTTTTTAAAGAAGTCATATGTGGAACTGTGCAATGAAGGTATAAGCATGGGATTGTCGAGGTCTTGATGTATCCTGTCAAACCATTAACCAGTTTCCATAAAGTAAAATCCAAGAAACTGAACTGAAAATAAGACTTTTAATATTCAGTAACTTTGACAAGTCAAAATTACAACAACAAAATTGAAAGGAGAAAAAATACGACAACAAAATTAAAAGGAGAAAAAAAAAAAAAGGCTCAACAACATACCTGAAGAACATTGTGAACAGCATCAAATGATGAAGTTAAAGACTGCTATATTAAACAAAAATAACAACATGTATCAGTGCACACACACAAATGTCCAGGGCACCCTGTTTGTTTTGTCCTAGAGAAGAACCTCGGTAGGCCACAACTGTGACATTTAACTCATTATTCCTAAGTGTGCATAGACACTGGTGTGTTTCTCATTGTTTTCATAACAATAAACAAATACTCAATATATACAAGGCATATCTTCTGCATTTCACCCCTACAAGTGCGGTTGGCACATTTTGGTTTATAGTTAGGCTGCGATATCTGTACCTTTTGACCTAACACATTCGATTTCAGCAAACCTCTGATCAGTGGCCCTTAAGGACATGCTTGCTGGGAAAAGGGGCAGATTCATTCATTCCAAAATATATAAATTAACAAATGTGGAGACAAACAAAGGTGTTCACAAGTTTCAGCAAACAACTAATGCATTAACAAAAGTGAAAAGGCACACATGGAAACAGAGAGAAGACACCAGCCAGAATTGTTCTAGACAAATGCAGAAGGGGGATAGTTGAATTTTGATGTCACCAATTTTCTGCTATATAGTAGTATTCTTTAGACTGAGATCCCCTGAATGTCACAGTCATGAAGTGGTGTGGGGGCGCAGATTCATTTATTGCAGAATATACAAATTAATAAATGTGGAGACAAACAAAGGTCTTCACAAGTTTGATTTGAGAAAACAACTAACGTTAAACAAAAGTGAAAAGGAACACATGGAAACAGAGAAAAGGCACCAGCCAGAACTGTTCAAGACAAATTCAGAAGGGGAATAGTTGAGAGGATTAGACTCATTAAACACCATAAAACTCACAAGCTCTGATGTTAACTTGATTACATAAAGACTAATGCCAAGGGGTAGACAAACATATAGAACTTTCCAACGAAGTTAACAGCCAGTGAATGTGTAGTAGTAGTAGTAATAATAATACCGATGTGCACGCAAAGAACAAGTTCTGGATCAAGACAAAAGTCCAGAAGTGGATGAACAACCAAAAATTTCAGCCAGTAAACGTGAAGAAGAACAAATCCACTATGCATATACTGGTGCTCCCAACATGGTACAGAAGCTGCGATAATGCAGTGGCTAGACGTTTGACTGCTGAGTTGAAGGTGTTAGTTATGGATGCGAATGTTGGACAATGAAGGTAGTTGAACTGTTACTTTTTACACAAATGTTGAGAAAATCATGGGCACAGAAAAGACAAAACAACAACAAATTTTGATGTTATGCCACATATTTTCTGCTATATGGTAGTGATCTTTAGACTGTGAGATCCCCTGAATGTCACAGGAATGAAGTGTTATATTAGATATTTTCTGCTATGTGGTAGTGATCTTTAGATTGTGAGATCCTCTGAGTTAGTTAGTTGGGTTATTATCATTGCACTCCGGACATGTCCATAGGTGCTCAGATCCTTCTCTCAGTATGAACCCCAACGTCCGATGGCTAATAGTACCAGTTCTATGTTGATTAACAAGTCTTCTGGCGTGCATCTCGTTTTTTGCTATGCCGATCTTAAATCCCAAGTCTGCCATTCTGGCGAGTGATGTGGATTCACTGCCACCAAAGTCCTCTATCCTTCCCATTTCTCTGAGGGCATTAATAATATCATCATGATCCACAGGCTGACCATCGGTAGATCAAGCCAACCTATCAGCTCTTTCATTTCCATCGACGCCTGCGTATCCTGGAACAAAAATAAAGGTGACTCCACGCATAGTGGACTTCTGTAATGATTCAAGCCATTGTCTTCGCACCGAACCTGCCTGAACCCTCCGGATCATACTCATTGAATCACTGAGTATACATACGGGGGTGTATTTTTGTGTTTCGAGCCAGGCAAACGCTTGCGTCATTGCCATCACCTCCATCGTCATGCTGCTGGTTGTCATGGAGAAGGCGCCGTTACCTTCTTTGACTGTTCTGCCCGCTGAGCGTTCTGTGAATGCCCATGCGCTTCTTTTTTTTTGGCGTATAACGGATCAGTCTGTATAGATTAGTGCATTTGCTTCATCTGAATTTTCACTGATGACAGCGTTGACCTCTGCATTAACAGCAACAGGATTCTCTTCTTTACATCGCCTGTTGAGTGTGGCAATACAGGAAAATGTACAAATAAACGCATGAGGCACAGGTATCCACTCTGCATCAGCGGTGATATGCTGCATATTTGCCTAATAACATCTTCTGCCCAACCTAGCCACGATTTTCCCCTCTTCAGTGATCCTGATCCTCTGAATGTTACAGTCATGAAGTGAGATCAGCAGAAGATGAGGCATTCAGTCAGAAACGAGACTGGATGGTGCCAGATGACAATATAGAAGAATATAATCAACAGAACTGATTCCGAGTACCTATGACTTAAGACTGGACGCAACAATATCTGGCAAGGCACAAGATGATGATGATGACGATGAGATAATGAATTAGAAAAAAAAAACTTCCACAAAGTGAATATAAAGATATATATATTTGAGAACAAAAGTGCAACATAGTAAAACGCATGTTTACACAAAGCCAACACTTGATTCAAGCGACTGACATAAATAACAGCTGAAGTAACCGTGTATCATCAGAATCTGTGCTCTCTGGGCATCCAGTTAATTACTTTCAACGTCGAATTTTCTTCTTAACTGGGGAGCTGTTCTTGCCGTGACTGCTGTCCCTGGATCTCTTTTGACCATGGTGGTTGCTGCTTGCGCTGGCTTTGTGATGGGACCTGTGTTTGTGTGAGTGCCTGACTTCAGGAATCTCCTCATCCTGCTCTCGGTCGGCTGAAATAGATTATAAAATTTAATTTTGTCAGGTTTTTCTCTCTCTAGAAAACGGGTGTCAGTACATACCATATCATCATCATCCCATAACACTTCGTGTCGTTGGGTCACCAGTTTCTGTTGACCGTCTGATCAGCTCTCTCCACCTTTGGCGGTCAGTTGCAATGGACTTCATGGCTGCATGCCTGAGGCCTGTCCAGACAGTCAGGTTCTGTAAACAGGTCTTTCTTGGTCTGCCGCTTCTCCTCTTTCCCTCTACTGAGCCCTGCAGTATTGTTTTTGAGAGGCCGTTAGATCTTATATGTCCATACCATTTTTTTGTTGGCCTTTTCACTGTAGTTAAAAGAGGTTCATAGTTGCCAACATACCATATAGTGGCTATGAAAGGTGCCAATCATATGTCATTACAGTAGAGCTAAAACAAATGCCTTAAAAAGTGCAGTAGGTAAGTACAAACACCTATTTAAAAAAAAAACATTTTTCTGTTAGAAAACAGGTGTTTGTAGTTACCACATAATGGCTACAGAAGGTGTCAGCACTGACCGCCGTGGTGTAGCGGCTAGATGTTTGCCTGCAGATCAGAAGGTTGTGGGTTCAGGTCCTGTCGAAGCCAGACTTCCTTAAAACATGACCTTGGCTCCCAGGTCGACCTAGCCTTGAGTGGGCAGCAGGTGTAGTTCTGGAAAGGCGCTAGCGCGATGTTGACCACATCACCCACTGAGTACCGATTCGTCTATAAAATATAGGTCTAGCCCTATATGCCTGAAGGTGTGGAAAAGGGTCCTTTGCTTACTCACCAACCACAATGTGACTATCACAGAAATCTTTAAAAAATAAAAAAGAAGCCAAAAGCAGGTGCCGGTACTGAGTTCTGTACCACCTGAGAAAAAAGCCCTGCGTTGTTTTTTGACCATCTCCACAGTGAAGCTTAATATGTAAATTATTGCTGTTTCTGGGATTAATATGTGGGGAGGACTCAATGTCTTCCACGGATGTAACTCAAATCACTGCCAGAAAGAAAGAAAAAAGCCTCAAGAATGGTCTCTTTCTAAACCCTCTGCCAGGGAAATAGAACTTGGAATGTAAAACACATTCAGTTTTACTCTCCCTCCCATTCTTTTCTTACTGACTATGTTTCTGCACAATAACACACACACACACACACACACAAACATAACAGTGAATCAATTTTATTTTTCCTAGTTTGGGTCCTAGTGCCGCATTTTGGGGAAGAGATCTGCCCTTCCAACAAGCAGTAATTAGTGGTGTTTCTTTCAGCCAGAGTTTACCTGCCTGAGAAGCCAGGAACCAACAATAATATGCACACAAACAATTCAGATCTGTAAAATTGATGTGTGGGCAAAACTCAAGTTCTGGAACACAATTACAGTCCAGAAGTGAACGAACAACCAGAACTTTCCACTGGATGTTTACAGCCTGTGAACAGGAAGAATAAGAATTTAAAAGTATATTATTTAGGTTTCTACGTTGAGAATTTCGAAGGTTAGTTTATTCATTTCTATGCTTTCTTGTTTTGGCTCTATGCTTTCTTGTTTTGACTCATAGCTTTTTTTTTATACGGACAAAATAGAGGAGGTTCTGCGTACAGGTTGTACACATTAAACATTCATGACAGTCAGAAATCATAGGGCTTTCAGAGAGAACTAAATTCCAGTGAATCAAGAGGTGAGGAGAAAATGCTGAGGTTGGATATGATAAATATTGAGGAAAAAAATGATAACAATATAACTAGAATGTCTGTGCACTGGAACCCACAGTCAAAGGAATAAAGGCAGCCCAAAAAAAACTGTTCCTTTTTTGTGTGCACGTCAAAAGTGGGGCAGCCATCTTTAAACCATCATGACATCAATGTGTTCATCTGCGCTGTGCTGTCATATGTTTCACACTCTTGACATCCTTAACAACAATACAGACTGGTTAAAAGACAAGGGTATTGTTACATTAATTTCTAGCACACTTTTAAGGTTTTAATATGAAACCCGATTTTAATGAATATTAAAACTGTTTAAACAGCTTCTAGAGCTGCTATAGTGGAATATTTTAACACAGATATACATACTGTGTAACAAACGTGTATAAATGATGGGCATCTGAGTATCATAGAATGATAATCTGCAGAGATCATACATACCTCTTCTTGCCTCCTCCTCCAGTTCATCCCAGTCTTTCCCGCTCTCTTCACTCGATCCCAGCTCTGATTCTATAATTTAAAAAATCCATCTTCATGTTTTAGTGTTGTATTCAAGTAATCATAGATAATCATGGAATAAGAAACAACACTGACATACGACATGATCTGAACATTGAGAAGAATTGGCTCATAAACAGCATCCTGTCCCGAAAGCATGAGCTATTTCTGGCTAACTGTCAGAGTGGCCGGGAGAGAATGATGATGAAGGGTGTAGTTTCTGGGAAATGAGGTAGAGGCCGACCTCTGCCAATGTGGATACAAACTACTGAAGATGCATTGGCTATGAAAGCACATAGGGCTGGAGAATTGAAGAGAGAGAGAGAGACTTTCAGGTGTGCCGTGAAGAGAGCGACGTTCTGTAAAGAACCTACTAAATGGTTAATCATACAGCATACTATCTCATGGGTGTACAACTTAAGGTCTTCATGTATACTAGGCTGCAGATTTATGACGTAAGGTGGCCATTTCCACTCCTCAGCATCCTTCCTTGGAAAAAGTAATCTGGTATCATTTAAAAAAGAATTGGGTGAGCACCAAATGGCATTTGCTAGTGGGGATAATTAGAGGAGCAGCTGACCGAACAGTTAGAAAGCTGGGCTCTCTCTCAAGTGGAAGACACAATTTTTTTCTGTCTGGGGCAAAATAAAATCCTCACCTGCACAGTTGTGGCAACAGCACTAACCATGCGGCCATAAATCCTCAGGCTCAAAGACCCCTTCCCCATACACTACAAAGACAACCCCCTACTCACCGTCACTTGCAGAAGTATTTTGGTCTGCAAGAAACAGTTCTGTCTATAAATCCCTTTCTACCTTCAGATGCTTAATATACCTACTGACAAACTTATAACAGCACTAAGAGTGAAGACAATGGAATAAAGACAGTGGGAATCGACATTAGCTATCAAATTCATTTCTAGAGTTTTAAACACACAGACAAGAAGCCAACATACCTGACTCATCATCTTCCTCCTCGTCCCAGTTACTTTCCTCACTGTCATCCTGACTGCTTTCCTCAGATTCAGAACCTACATCTGAAGGTTCAAATGTGTCATCGCCTTCTTCACTATCTTCCTCTTCCACCTCCTCCTACAAAACAAAATATATATTTCAGCTTTTCCTTCCTTTGAAGAAAAAACTATCCCCCCCCCCCATTTTTTCTCTACATAATATAATACATAGTTTAATTGTTTCTCATCTTTCTACATATTAAAACATAAATGAAAGTTTTCCCTCTTTCTTATTCTTAAACAACATAAGATACAGAATATAGCTTTCGCTCAAATTTCTATACAACATATATTCCCACATATTAGTTTTCTTCTCTTTTTTACATTACAACATATATATTCTGGTTTGCTCTTTTCTTTCTTTTTCTGCCCTTGTCCTCCAATGGAGCATAGGCTCTCAGCCAACTCATGCCAAGTCCTGCTATCCTTTGCTATTGCATGCAGCTCACCCTATGTCTTCCCCATCATTTTACTTCGCTCTCTACTTCCCTTCTCTGTATGCTTTGTGTGTGTCTGCCTTTGTTTCTATGTCCTGCTGGTTGCAGTGGGGAGACATTCTAGTTGTACTGTTGTCAGGTTTCCTAGTTGTCCCATAACACCGGTGTCTTATCTTCCCCACCTGATTCACAGGGATTTGGTTAGCTCTCTCCCAAAGCTTAACTTCAGTAATTCTATCATTTCACCTATTTTGCAAAGGCACCAGTTAATGAATTTGTGTAGTTTATTAGCAATTGTTTTAGCTGTTCTCCATGTTTCTGCTCCATACAGCAGTACTGATTTGACATTAGAAAAAATTTTAGTATCAGTTTTTTAATTTCCATCGACTTCCACAATTTTCCTAGTGTTATGAAGACTCCTCTTGCCTTTTCTATCTGCATTTTAGAATCTATATCATTTCCCCTTCTCTTTATGCAAATCAAATCAAAGATTTTGGTTTTCGCTCCTCTTTCTATATGTATTCCTCCAGTTTTACTTCTTCTTTCTAAATTACAAAACACTTAAGATTTTCCCTCCTCTTTCCACATAAAATACATATTGTAGTTTCCCCTAATTTATGTTATCAAATATGCATTTGAACTTTCCTTCCTCCCTTTACACAATCAAACATCAGTGTTCTCTCCTCTCCCCAGCTTAGCTCATTACACGATAATATAGAAGATATGAGAACCTATCACTTTATACCCCAAGCTATGAGACTACCTCTTACCTCCTCTTCCATCGTAAAACACATGTACATATTCCAATCCTTTCTTCATAATACCTTACAATTCATAAGTCTAATCAGATAAATTATTTTCTGTAGTGTATAAATAAACTATAGTAATACAGTGTATAATCTATCATTATGGTGCAAATGGGTCATGAATGATACAGATATTGAGGTGGATTCATGGAAACAGGATGCGATGGACCAAGCTGCATAGGGGAGGGGAAAAAAAATAAAGAAGGAAATAGGGATACAGAAGAAAATGACTGCAGATAGGATTAAAGCTGAGTGACCGAGAAGCACATTAGACACATGCGCTGGCAACAATGGTTCTGAAATGCCATACTATAACAGTGGAAGACTTTTTGTAACTAACTGATCTTGCCAGTGACAATCACCATAGCCTCCCCGTATAATAACACTCTTGTCTGGAAAGAAGCTAACAGTCAATCACACAATCAAGTACTACCTTCACTGGAAAGGCTAACCTGGTCAACAAATACTCTCTCAAGCTGTGACATACACTGGCTGCTAAGGACAAATATCGCAGCTCTGCTGTAAACAGGCACAAACACAATTATGCCAGCAACAACACATATTGGACAAACAATGAAGAAAACGTACAGCCCTCTCTGCTGTTTCCTCACCATTCTTCTTCTTCTGGGTTTGCCATTAAAAGGACGGTTGGAACACTGTACTGTACTTTACAGCTAGGCTGTGATATTTGTGCCTAGAGACTAACAAATTCAATTTAAGCAAGCTTCTAATTATAGTCACCTTTTAAGATATGCTTGTTAGGGTGCAGTAAGATTATTCCTGCCCACCCCCCCCCCCCCAGTTAAAAAAAAGCCTTGAGAAACCCACACTGGATCCTCACCTTTGAATTCAATGACATTTATTTCTCAACTAACCTGAAAGAAAATCAATACACAGGGCTTAAGAAGACAAGTGTCCTCTGTTTCATTATATAACCTTTCCCACACAACCAGAAATGCCAGGCCAGCAAAGATATACATACACTGAAGCTGAAGTAAACCATAACACCTTCAAATGGTTAATACTTCACCATTATAGCGAGCAAAATATCAAGAGTGTAAATAATGTAGCAAGCAAAACAACAGAAAAATAAAGAAGACTACAAAGACTAAACAGGGAGGCGCCATGGCATTAGCGGCTAGACGCTCGCGTGCGGATCAGAAGGTTGTGGGTTCGCTCTCCAGGGGGGCCGGACTTTTTTTCAAAAAATGACTTTGACTCCCAGGTTGACCCAGCCTTGAGTGGGTAAAGGGCGCAGTCCCTGGAAGTAAAGGTGGCCGGCGTGATGCTGACCATACCACCCATCTTGTGCCGATTGGTCTTTAAAAATATAGGTCTAGCCCTATGGGCCCTATACGCCTAAAGGAGTGGAAAAGAGACCTTTACTTTCAAATACTAAACAGCTGTTCCATATACAAAGTCTTAAAAAAAAAAATGTATACTCAGTTTAACATGTCATCTAGGAAAGTCTTTTAAAGTTAGATCAAATTAGGGTGTAGTCTGACCTCTCTCAAAATTGGTTGTTAGTCACATAAAAAGTAGTCTCAACATAGGAACATGTATCATAGAAAAACTAGATACACTGCTGGCCTCTTGGAATAAATAATAAATACTGTATCTGTTTCTTTAAAGCTAAGAAATATTTGGATGTTACTGTATCTGTTATTCACGCTAATAAATATTTGGATGTTACTGTATCTGTTTATTCACGCTAATAAATATTTGGATGTTACTGTATCTGTTTATTCACGCTAATAAATATTTGGATGTTACTGTATCTGTTATTCACGCTAATAAATATTTGGATGTTACTGTATCTGTTATTCACGCTAATAAATATTTGGATGTTACTGTATCTGTTTATTCACGCTAATAAATATTTGGATGTTACTGTATCTGTTATTCACGCTAATAAATATTTGGATGTTACTGTATCTGTTTATTCACATTAATAGAGGGGCTGCGTGGTCTTGAGGCATGGTGTCCGCCTCATGTGCTAGAGGTTCCAGGTTCAATCCCCGGTAAGGGCTGAGATTTTTTTTCACATGGACTTGGACTTCTAGTAATTCCCCCCTGGTCTCTGGGCAGTGAGATCAGACGCCCAGTGTGCATTGTTGCGCATGTAGAAAAATCCCTTGGCAGTTGGAAATTGAAAAGAGTATACTAAAGGCGCTGCCCGAGCAAAATTTGGAGTTAAAAAGAAGATTCCCAGGGGTATGTTAAAACATGCAAGAATTCTTTTTCTAACCTCCAATGACATGGATTTATTGCACAAAATGTTCTTCATTTTATAAAAAGCTGTTTTAGCTTGTCCTATTCTGTTCTTTATCTCTGTGATAATCTTCCACAGGATGTTATTCACTTGCCTAGACACTTATATTTCTGTACATGTCCTAAATAACGCCTTTGACTTTTTTAATACATTTACAATATTATACATATTATACACACAAAAAAGAACTCTATAATTTAAATTTAAAAAAAAAAAACTGCTTACATTTTTTACCAAACATTATCTTGCTAAAGGAAATATACCTTTTTGAAGAAGAAAGGTTAAAGGTTAAATTCAAGAGGAACGCCTTCTTTGCAATAGATTTTATCCCATATGGCTTGGTCTTTCTCAGCAGAACAGCTAGCCACCTGCTGAGCGCATCGCATAGAGCACGAACTCCGTAGCTCCAGTGACGATGCCCAGGAATCTCTAAAAATTGCATTTGTGAACTGAACGACCTTCAGAGCTCAAGGCAAACACCTTGCCACTTCGCCACGGAGATCCTCTTCTTGAAGAAGAAACAGTTCATCGGGTCTAGAGAAGAAAACAATCATAAGCACAGAACTCATATCTTACCTGCATTAACCCTATGTTTATTGTGTGGCTTACACAAAAGACATCACTCTAAAACAATGCTCCCCCCACACACACACACATCCATGAAACTCTTGCAGTTTCTAAGAGCATCTTCTGAGCTTTTGTGTAAATTCATGCTATAAACAAAAGAGATTTCAGAAATATTTTGAACTACTGAAAACACCCCTTGAAAAATCCTGAAGGAACTTGTAAAGCTGCCGGGGCTCTTAGATGTTAAGAGCAATTTAATAACAGCAAAACGTTTTCAATTCAATTCCACAGAACATCTTTTGAGCTTTACTGGACTTTATGCTAAAAACAAAAACAGATTTCAGAAATACAGTAGAACCTTGATTACCCAGACTCCCTATTATCCTGCCTAGTCTACAAAAATTAAAATTTCTTGTAATGAAATAAGGAATAATTTACTTTACTATGTTGTTGCAAGCGTGCATCATGTGTGCATAAGATACACCAAGACAATAAAGCGCAGATCCCCCTACCCCCTCAGCTAACAAACACTTTTCACTTTGTCAGTTGTGTATTCTTTTTCAACATTGTGGAGTACATTTGCTACTATTCATAATTACTTTATCAAAATAATGTTTGGCATTCGACGTTGCTTTGTTAAAGATGATGAAATGGGGGATAAATGAAAAAAAAAAGGTTGTGGAGGGGAAACTACATGCTATAAAGCAACAGGACTCTGGAGTAACAGCAGTAACTTATTGCTTTGTGGTTAGGAATTGGGAAAAGTACAGTCAGAGACTGGAAAGCAAATCGAGCAGAAATTGAAAAGCGGAATGTGGCCCAATTAAGTGGGAGTGGAATGAATGGAAGAGAAATGATGATCAAAGGTAAACATACAGAAGATGAGGAAGTATTATTTTTGTGTCACGAACACTTGAGAGGAAAAGCTTGCCTATTACTGGGCCAATATTGCAGTAAAAAGCATCACAATTTATGCGACAAACTAAAGGAGAAGATGGATGGTTAAATCGGTAGTAAAAAAGGATTAAGTATTTGTCAGGTTACCATAAGAGGGGAGGCTTTATCTGCCAATACAGAGTCTGCACCTTTGTTCAAAGACTATCTTTTCTAAGCTTATAGAAAAGGAGGGAAGTTTAAAGTAAAAGATGCTCCGTATTTAAAGCATGCACAGAATAACAGCCAAATCAAATAAAATAGTGGTAAATATATGCCAAAATACCCAAGACAGCTGAAAAACTAAAATTTTGCTAATTCAAGATTCTACTGGGTTTCTGTTTTACTCCTGTTGATTTTGTTTTGTCTTTAAAACCTGTGAACTTTTTTTAGGGACAGGGGTCACGACCTGAGGATTTAAACGGTAACTATAGCTTTCGATTTTTATGTTGTCTAGTGTGTTCTTCTATCTTTCTACTTCTTTCTATGAGTGCCGATCAATACACTTTCTGTTATTCGATTAATTCATAATATTTAACGGCCTCAAAGGTTCCCCCTCTGTTTATTTATAGGAATGACGTATACACACCGGAACCTACCAATCAAATACCTTTCTTAAAATGTTTGTGTATTCTAGACAAAGCAATAAGATCTACTGTGTTCGTAAATTGTTGCTGTGATTGTTTTTCGACATTTGCTTCGTTAATATAAATTTCTGTAACCTATGGTGCCATTTCAATTGGTTGAAATGAATTCTGTCCATATTCCATAGTTGTGGATTTCAAGCTGTACGATAGACATGGCCAATAAGACACCTTTTTTTTGGGGGTGCCTAGTTGACCATGTTCTTTAGTGCACTTGTATTCATGGCGAGGCGCAGACGCCGTCTGGAGGTGATAGGTTCCATTCCCGGCACGGTAACTATAGCTATCGATTTTTATGTTGTCTAGTGTGTTCTTCTATCTTTCTACTTCTTTCTATGAGTTCCGATCAATACACTTTCTGTTACTCGATTAATTCATAATATTTAACGGCCTCAAAGGTTCCCCCTCTGTTTATTTATTAATGATAGCACGATATCCACCTGATCTTATTTTCAGAGATACAATCTTTGAGTCAGGATGAGTTAACAAAAATAATAATATTGCACAGGAGGAGTTGAAGAAACAATTTTAATAGAATGGATTATTGTTATAGAAGAATAGGGCAGAAGTAAGGAATGTATGTGATACATAAAGTGTATGTGACATATAAGTGTATGTGATATATAAAGTGTATGTGATATATAAGGTGTATGTGATGAATAAAGTGTGTTGGGTCGTACTGAAAGAGTTAAGTATTCAGAAATTGGGAAGATCATTACATGCTAACAGCAATTAACAATTAACTATTTTTGTCACAATTTATTTTTACCTTAACTGGATTTACTAACTTTCAGGGTAATGTACTTGATATTTTGAAGTAATTAATATTTGGGATAGAAGAAACAATAAAAAAAAAGGAGTTAATTTAAAGTAATGAATGTCTACTTCTAACAAGCTGGAACAATATAACTAGCTAGAACAAAGTGAATTAATTAGTAAAGTAAGTAAATGTCCCTTTTCCACACCTCATGCTTATAGGGCATATAGGGTTAGACCTAAATTTGTATAGACCATCGGCACAAGATGGGCGATGTGGTCAGCATCACGCCGGCCACTTTTACTTCCCGGGACTGCACCCGGTACCCACTCAAGGCTGGGTCGACCTGGAAGTCACGACCTTTTGATCCGCACACGAGCGTCTAGCCGCTACGCCATGGCGACTTCTAAAGTCAATTAATTGCTGGGACATTATAAGTTCAGAAAAATGCATACAGGGAGGGGTAAATAATGAAAGCATGCCGAGTTGACTGATACTAAATAAGACGAGTTCATCCATGTTTGGGTCTAAAGAAATTAAAATATGACCAGAATACACAAATCTAAATCCCTGACAAGAAAAAATAAATAAACAGTGCATCAGACATACTCAACAACAAAAAAGAGTGGTGCATTTTTAGGAATATCCTAAAATAATTATGAAGCAAGTGTACAAGCACAAGGTTACAAAAAAATCTAATTAAAAAGAGGTGTCTAAAGTGTGTTCTGTGTATTGTGCAAATGTGTTAAGAATAGAAAAAAAAATGGATAAAGTGCAAATGTCTAACAACAGAAGCATGGACAGAGAACTGAGCTGACAATTAAAGCAATAACTTTAAATATGAACTTATTGCAGTATTTCCACAGCTTATAACGTAATGAATAACTATTTAATAACCGAATTAAAAAAAAAATTAAACAGAAGAACACAGCTTAACTTACCAAATGACAATAAAATATTTCATGCATGCAAAGATTAATAGCCAAAACAAATGAAACTGTGGTAAATATGTACCAACACACCCGAGAAAGCTTAAAAATGAAAATTTTGCAAATTCAAGATTCTACTGGTTTTCTATTTGACTCCTGTTGATGATATTTTTGTCCTTATTGCCTGTAAAATGTTCAAGTGACCAGCGGGCGGTCATGACTTGGGGATATGATAGCGGCGTCCGTGGCTAAGGCGTTGCGAGTCCGACTCGTAAGCCAGCATACCGCGATCGAAACCCACTGCAGGCTGCGTGGATTTTCGTCGTGGTATGGGACGTCGCAGGTCGACCCAGCCTAAAATGGGTACCAGGATGGGCTGTCCTGGAAAAGTAAAGACAGCCGGCGTAATGCTGACCACATTACCCACAGAGTGCTGATGGTCTGTAAAAATATGGGACGCTCTGCCCATATGCCCGATGCGCCGAAAGGCGTGAAAAGGGAACTTTACTTTATTTTCTTTACTTATTAATGATAGGAACCTGATCTTATTTTCAACTGAAATATATGAAATTCTATTTCTACTAGCAGATGAAGATCATCAAGTTGCTAAATACTGGGTGATCAAAATAAAATTGTATTTCTGAACCAGACATTTGTGAATTTTAATCTGAGCAGTTTAAATAAAGCACAAGCCACCAGGCACAAAGACTGAGTCAATTTTACCTTCATGCTGTACTTACTTCACCCTATTTAAACAAAAGATCACAGATAAAATTGAAAACAAAAAAAAAGACAATAAGCGAACCAGACTTACAAATGAAAGTGAACGTAAACATAAATAAATTAATCAGCATGTTTTAAAAGAATCACAACATCAAAATGTCTATAACATATGTATCAATGTTCTGTCTAATGTATTTTTGTTTTTTCAAACATGTCAATTCCAGCTTGGAATAATTTACAAGATGCTAAGTGTCTCCAATCTGAACAAACAACCTTTATTAAGTGATTTCAATCTGGACAATTTTTATTTTGTGCTTCCAGTGTACAATTTTTATTTTGCTTCCAATTTGAACAAACAATGTTTATTTAGAACTTCCAACATGGATAAATAATGTTTAGTGCTTCAAATCTGGACAGGCAATGTTCAATCAGTACTTCCAATGTAGACAGTTGGTATTTTAATGTTTTCTAAATCTGGATAAACAATCTCTTTTTAGTGCTTCCAATCTGGACAAACAATGTTCATTTAGTACCTCTAATGTAGACAGTGAGTATTTAATGTTTTCAGAATTGGGACAAACAATCTCTTTTCAGTGCTTCCAATGTGGACAATCTTTATTCAGTACATCCAATTTGAATAAACAATCTTTTTATTTAGTCCTTCTAATCTGGGTCAATAATGTTTTTATTTTATGTTTAGTGCCCCTAAACTGGACAAACAATGTTCATTTAGTACTTCCAATGTGGACAGTTGGTATCTAATGTTGTCAAAATCTGGATAAACAATCTCTGCTTAGTGTATCCAATGTGGACAATCTTTTATTCAGTACTTCTTATTTGAATAGACAATAGTTTTTACTTAGTGCTTCCTATCTTTACTAACTTTCACAGCTGTTTCATTATTTCTGTTTAAACACAACATTTAAAGGCACAGTTTCGGAACTATACCAACATTATAGTTTATAGATTCCTGAAGGCATTATAATTTGTTGCCAGGGTAAAATAAGACAAACAGTTCTGTAGAATTTATATCTCATTATGAACACTTGGAAAAAGTCTTAACCACTGACTCCAGGTATTAATGCATTTCTACAGTGAAGTTCATATTAGAGACAACATTGCAGATATAGATAATCTATTTCAAGCGAACGAAAGAAGAAGAAGAAGAAATACAATGCTTTAATTTACTTAGTACAAAAATCAGTAAAAATCTTTGGAAACCCCCCCCCCCCCCCCCCCCTTTCTCCTCCCCACCCATTTCTTTTACCCCCAATATTCTACAATAGTATGGGGATATCATTTTAATACATCACTGGTAGTGTCCAGAAATGTTCATTATTTTTAATAGATTTTTGGGATTTCCCACAAATATTTTATGTTAGTGTGGGTAATTCATCAACCTAACAATTCTAAACATGTACTTACATCACTGGTAGTGTCCAGAAATGACCATCCACCATTGTCAAAGAATCCTTCGGTGTCATCTGTAATAGTTTTCATGATCTTGGTCCAGTTCAAGCTTTGTACACCTTCCGTGTAACGAATGTCACAGGAACTGAGATAAAACAAACAGGAGAGGATGTAGTTCTGGTTTCACTAAAATAATATTTCTTCAACATATTAACAGAAATCACACTGCAACAAAATATAATAATTAAAATGTTTTGTTATAAAGTTTGCAAATATTTATTATGTATAATTAATAAATTCAAAACAATTTCATACCGTTCTAAATTTAAAATAATGTGGACATACACATGTGTTGGACAATATACTGCTTGGCATATTTCGATGCATCTCGTCAGGTGCATTACTACAGAGTTAAATCAATGTATAGTCAAGCACACACACGCACACACACATACACATATACTGAGAGAGAGAGAGAGAGAGAGAGAGAGAGAGAGAGAGAGATAGAGAGGAGAGAAAGAGAGAGAGGAGAGAAAGAGAGGGGAGAGAGAGAGCGGAAAGGGGGGGGGGGGGGGGGGGGTGAAATATTTGGCAAAACTCGAACTTCAAACAAGACATTTTCAAGTAAATTTTGCTTTTAACCCGAATGCCTGACAAGGGCTATTCCACAGCACTGCCTTGACCTTTGGTTTATTTTTGTCACTATGGTAAATGCGTCAGGTTTCAGATGGTCACCTCATAGGGCTTCAGCAGATAATTTTATGAATTTATGCTTAGTCATCTGTTCTATTTTGTGCTGTTTCATCATTTTGATCAAAGTACAATAAATACAATGTTTTTATATCATGTTTTAAAAAAAAAAACATATGTTTGTATTCAAATATGATCATCACATGTTACTATGGTTACAGTGTACTATCATCATCATCAGGTGCCTTGCCGACTGGCGTGGGCGATCATGCCTCTCCAAAATCTGCGATCTCCTGCAGCATGTATCAGTTCGTGTGCCGACACACCTCCATACCATGCAACAAGACTGTCAAGCATCTTCTCTCGTTGCCTTCCTCTATCTCACCTTTCACATATCTTTCCAGTGGTCACAACATGTCCAGGATTCACAGCCATATGTCAACTGGATGTATGTAGCAAGCAAGAATTCTTTTTCTAACTCTCAATGACAAGGATATATTCCACAAGATGTTTTTCATTTTATAAAATGCAGTTTTTGCTTGTCCTATTCTGTTTCTTATCTCAGTTATGCATCTTCCATCTGATGTTATCCATGTGCCCAGATACTTAAATTTCTGTACTTGTCCTAAAATAACACCATCAACTTTTATTACACACTTAGGAATAATTCGTTTCTTTGATACCACCATTACTTCTGTCTTCCCATTATTTAAACTGAGGCCCATTCTTCCACTTTCTAACACCGCAATGTCTATCATTTCCTTTAGTTTTTTTCTGACTTGTTGCTATCAAGACTGTGTCATCAGCATAACGTAAACTGTTTATATTGTGCCCACCAACCACAATGCCGGGCATACCAATTAAAGCTCTCATTATATATTCACTGTATATTGAAAATAAATCAGGTGACAGTACACATCCTTGTCGTACGCCCCTCTTTATGCTTTGAAATGTACCTAAACAGTTGTTAATTTTTATAGCTGCTGTTTGCTGCCAATACATATTCTTTATTATTCGTAAATCTTTCCCATCAATGTTTAATTTTTCTAACAGTTTGATTACTTCTTCATGCTTCACACAGTCAAATGCTTTTGTATAGTCTATGAAGCATATGTACGAATAAGTCTTTACTTCTATAGCTCTTTCTGACAATGTCCTTAGGACATATATATGGCATTGTTTGTACCTTTTCCTTCTACAAATCCACATTGTTCATCGCTGATTTCTGGTTTAATTTTGTTTCTTATTCTTCTCATAATTAATCTTAGTCATGTGACTCATAAGACTTATTGTGCGATGGTCTTCACATTTTATAGTGCCTGGTTTCTTAGGCAGAGCTATAAATATGGATTTTAAAAGGTCATTTGGAATATACCCACTATTATAAATATCATTTAAAAGTTTAGTTATTATTTCAATTCCAAAATCTCCCAGTGCTTCGATTTCTTCCAGTGAGATGTTGTCTGGCCCGGGTGCTTTTCCTTTCTTCATATGATGTATTGCATCCTCAACTTCTGTAGTCATTATTGGTGGACCATCATTGTTGGTCTGCAGTTCTACATCTGGTCTATTATCATCATACAATTCCCCTATATACTCTGTCCATCTGTTAATTATATTACTATGTCCCATTAATAAGTCACCATCTTCTGATTTCAAACATCCAGTGCTGTTAACGCGTCATCTTTCCTGTTAACATATTTATCTTTTGGTACATGGAATGTAAGTCTATCCTGTTGTTTTCCCCAATCTCTGTACATATTTGATTCAGCCAGGCTTCTTTAGCCACTTTGCATTTGTTCACTATTTCTTTTTGTATTCTAGAGTATTCTTCTTTATCGTTCTTTAGTATACTATACAGAGGAAGATACATTTTAAAATTTGAGTATGCTGGACCTTGTATAGAATAATTTAGTATCCATTATTCTCAGAGAGAAAAACTGTCTTAGAACTTGAACGGTTTGGAGTTCAAACTCTGTTTCTGAGCAGATTCTGTTCGAAGTCCGAGGTAATGGTGTGTGTGTATCTATCGGATCCTATTCTCAAATATGTGAAGTTCCGCTTCCACCAGCATATGAAGAATAGCAAGATAATTATAGTGTTATCAAAATCAAATTGTGTTAATGAATCATAAACTTGTGAATTTAATCTAAGCTGCTGAAATAAAGCGCAAGCCAAGCAGATACAAAGACTGAGTCAATATTACCTCCTAGTTGTACTTACATTGCCCTATTTAAACAAATGATCACAGATAAAAATTGGAAACAAAGGGACAATGAGTAAACTAGCTAAACATCCCCCCCCTCTCTCTCTCTCTCTCTCTATATATATATATATATATATATATATATAGAAAGAGAGAGAGAGAGAGAGGGGTGGGGTGGGGGAGGGAGAGAGAATTTAAAACAAAAATGTATTAGTAACCTTGCTCTTTTAGTGAATTTGTTTTGGGGTGAAAAGGATGGTGGTGATGGGGGGGGGGGGGGGGGGGGTAGTGGTTAATTCTCAGGTTTGTATGTTATTTTCTCCCAAGGGTTTTGAGGGAGACAAGTTAGTAGAATAAGCATTTATGATCTTTTTAGGTCCAAGGTACTGTTTTAATTTAATTCTCCCCTCTGTGTTTAATATTATTCTCAATCTACGTCAATTGTAAATATTTTTGTATTAGTAACCAGTATTTCTTGGGGGTGGGGTGTGCGTGCGTGTGTGCAAGAGAGAGAGAGAGAGAAAGAGGGGGAGAGGGAGAGGGGGAGGGAGGGAGGGAGGGAGGGGGAGAGAGAGAGAGAGAGAGAAAGAGAGAGAGAGAGAGAGAGAGAGAGAGAGAGAGAGAGAGAGAGAGAGAGAGAGAGAGAGAGAGAGAGAGAGAGAGAGAGAGAGAGAGAGAGAGAGAGAGAGAGATTCCTGGGTTCATGTTCGTTTTTCCAAGGGTTTTCAAGGTGAAAGGGCTAATAAGAGAATACGCTTATAATGAGGTTTGTTTTGTTACAATTAAATATATTTTATAGTATAAAACCATCTTTCATCCTGACAGTGCTTCTTCCTCCTTTTTTTCTAGTTACATTCACAACGAAAATACTTTGAGTGTGACATTAACACAGCCTTTTTTTATCCTCTCTGTGATTACCTTACCTATTTGCTACTACTTTTTATTTAAACTGCGAGGGAGCTGCGTGGTCTCGAGGCATGGTGTCCACCTCGGGTGCTAGAGGTCCATGATACAAGCCCCGGTGAGAGCTGGGATTTTTTTCTCTTGGACTTCTTGTTATTTCCCCTGGTCTCTGGGTAGTAAGACCGGACGCCCGTGTGTATTGTTGCGCACTTAAAAAATCCCCTGGCAGCTGGAAATCGAAAAGAGTAGCCTGATGACGCTGCCCAGGCAAAATTTGGAGTAAAAAATCTACCTAAAGTATTTCAGGATCCTGGCGGTTGCTATAGAGTTTGTGCACTGTGCTGAGAATCTTCAGACTCAGGCTTGAGGTAGAAGAAAAACGGAGCACTTATTGGTTACCCCCGTGTGCCATGATGTCGATCCTTTGAACAAACATAAACATATAAACTGCAGTCAGTAACATGGTCTGCTTTCAGTTATAGATAGAGAAGGGTCTTGTTCACAGACTATCCTACCCTAAACTGCTGACTGTATTCATATCTGCTATTGCATCTTTGATCTCTGAAAAATTATAAATCTTAGTGGACTACAGAGCAAATGGTTGGGACATTCTTAAGACTACCAACACACAGAGCACCACAGAGAGCCCTGTCACTTAAACATAATGGAAGCAGAGACAGAGGTCAGCCATGCAAATTATGGATAGATGGAATAGCCGAGGTCATAAATACCAGCATCTAAGTAGCATTTACTAAGGCTCGCACCCAATTACTCTTCAAAACCTGACGCTGAAAGGCCTGACAGAGCTAGAGAAGAAGAAGTGAACTAACTAGTGTGACACTATCAACTGTATTATCCACAGCACCAACAACCATCCTATTAACTCTTTCAGTCCCAAGGGCTTTAGAAACAGAGACCCCAAGGGTAGTAAAGAGAGACGTTAAATCAGTGCATCTTGTGTTCATTGGGCTTCTAGATAGGAACCTATGAACCTATGATGCGTTTCTTGGGACTGAAAGAGTTAAGAATCACACAATGAAACAAACTTGTTAAATCAACTAACTTCAGCCACTCCTTCACATGATCCAGCATATTCATAGAAATGGAGTTGATCATTGCTGTCTTTTTGCTGTAGTCCTTGAAGACAAACACCATGTCAAAGTTTTTCAGCTGGAAGGAGACTCTCTCAAAGTGCACCAGCTCGATGTCTTCCAGAGTGACTACAAATGGAGGCTGAAACAACAGTCAAACTTTTGCTTTAGACAAAACCAGTTAGTTAGTTAGTCAGTTAATCAACAGATTATCCTCAATGCACATCAGCAAGTCCATAAGCGCTCGGATCCCACCTTCAGTATATCCCTCAGCACGTGGCGACTGATAAGACCAGTTCTGTGATGGTTTACTATTCTTCTTTGGCTATCTGTATAGTGTTCATGTTTGGCGACACCTCATTTGGCCTGACAGACAACAGTAATCTATCACCAAGAGGATCACAGGCTGGAACACTGCAAGAAGCAATCTTTGTTCCACATCCACTGCTGCCCTAATCCTGAGTGCATTGAGCCTTTTTTTGGGCGTTTCATCACAGATGCCTTTACATGATCCATAAAGGATAGGCTTTTATGGAAAGTGATTCCCAGGTACCTCAGTTTGCTTTCTCTTTTGGGGTTCTTAAAAAAAAAAAGGAAGAAAGAAAGAAAGAAAAAATATAAAGGAAATCTAATAACAAATGCTAGTGTTCACATGGTGTATTTATAGACTTCTGGTCAAAATGGACGCTAGGCAGGGGCAATGTTTGGACAAGCCGGATGTTATAAGAGTCCTTTGGGAGTGTGTGAACAGTGCAGAGCCACAAACAGATATCATAACGACCTGAGGAAAATGATGGAGTGACCAAGGGATCTGGCCGAAGCTCAACACTCGTTAAAGGTGAGATGGATATACAATTAAGCTGTTACTGGTACCATCGGAACTGGAACTCTGCTCTTGCTGCTGAAAATGGAGACAAAACGCTTATGAGAGTGTCCCGAGTGCTATGATGTTGATTTTTGATTCAACATTCAATATTTAATAACAAATGCTAATATCTTCAACATGCTAATATCTTCAACATGCTAATATCTTCAACATGCTAATATCTTCAACATGCTAATATCTTCAACATGCTAATATCTTCAACATGCTAATATCTTCAACATGCTTAACTAATTCATACAATTGGTTTGTTATTGAATCAAATGATGCCAGCAGCGAGAGCTTACAACATCAGAAAAGAAACACCATACGGCAGAGAGAGAGACCTAGAAAAATATGGACTGAAAGGAGTCACTGGCAGTTTAATATTTCATAACATCACAAAATTTTATGTTTAACTTTGGAGCCTAATGGCACAATAAGATATTGGACAAAAGAAAAGAAACAAAAAAGATAGTTAATTTGTAGTTTCAACAAAAAAATGGCATAAACAATATTTTATAATTAATAAGATAAATAGATTCGGTACCTGCAACCAAGCACACCCTAGAAGGCAAATAGACTCGGTACATGCAACCAAGCACACACTAGTTCAGCTATCTATTTCCTGCCCCAATCTATGATGATGCCTAGCAGAGCAAGGGAGATACTGGACCCCCCCCCCCACCCCCACCCCCAAGAAAGGTAGTTAATTTGCAGTTTATAACAACAATTAACATAAAAGATGTACTTTGCATGAACAATTTTTTACAAATACTGATGCCCATAAGCCGAGAAGGATGAGGGCTTATGCTCCAGCAGAAGCAGTAAAAGTAAAGGGCCCTTTACATGCTAGACTCTTATTTGTTTAGACCAATTAGCCCTTGATTAAAGATGTGGTCAACATCGCACACAATGCCTTTACCTCCCAGGACTTTACCTCATACAATTTTAAGTCTGGGTCCACCTGACTAAAATCATGTTTGAACAAAATCTGGCTGCTATGGATCTGAACTCACTAGCTTTAGATCCACGGATGAGCATCTATCCACTCCGTCACAGCGGCCCCCATAGCAGAAGAAGACATGTCACTACACTGATAAAGTGGTTACTTGTTACCTTACAACGGAGCTGCAGCAAGAATGTAGTTGATCAAGGAGCCACATAATTAAAATGGTTGAACAGTGTTGACACAACACGTTATGGGACAATGGGAGACTTTACATTTCCATAAACAATCAGGGATTACTCACCCACTCTGTTAGGTTTACCAGGCAACCACTTGTTGGCTGCAGCAGCACTGTGCTTCTGTATGGAGCACCATGAAACCCCAGTTCTCTGAAAGGTGAATCAAACTCCACTTCCTGTTTTGTAATGCTCTCCACTTTCTCACAAAAGCTTTTAAATGCAGATTTTAGCTTCTGTCTCAGTTCTTTCTCAGCCTGTGATTGGGGAAAGACAAAATATTTAGCTCTATAATAAAAAAAATAAAAAATAAAAATACGTGTGGGGTCCAGTTTTACAGGGAGTGTCTGCGTACACATAAATCAGATCAGTAAGACGGATTTGCACACAAAATGCAGGTTCTGGAAAAAGACCAAAGTCCAGAAGTGGACAAACAATCAGAACTTTTTGCCAGAGCTTAAAGACAGTGAAAGAGAAAAAAAAAAAACCCAAAAAAACTGCAGACAACCATAATGCACTTAAACCATGGAACCAGTCACAGTGTACCTAACCTTAGAGCCGAATTTTATGCACCTTATCATTGAAGCTTCAATGTGCTTAATCCTAAGTGCCAATCAAAATGTGCCCCATCTCTGTTGGTCAGCATCTGTTGCTTAAGGGTTAACAAGGCAGTTTCATAACTCCAACATTCCAGGTTAGATTCAACTGCAGGTAATTTGGCAGCAGACTATTCTGCGTTGATTTTGACAATGTTATTAGTGTCGTCCCTTTGCTTTATGGCAGTAAAACTTGGTCAATTTATTCGCACCAGGAGAAATAGCTAAATAGCTTTCACATGCTATGCCTAAGAAGAGGTTCGAGATTTTGAGGTTTTGAACAACGGATCAACATCATGGCACACGGGTAGTAACCCACAAGTGCTCCGTTCTTCTTCTAACTCAAGTCTGAGTCCGAAGAAGCTCAGCACAGTACACAGGCTCTGTAGCACCGGCAAGGATCCTTAAATACTTTGGGTAGATTTTTAACTCTAATATTTTCCCGGCCAGCACAGTTAGTCTACTCTTTTCGATTTCCAAGTGCCAAAGGATTTTTTCTGAGGGCAACATTGCACACCGGCGTCTGATCTCACTACCCAGAAACCAGGGGAAATTACTAGAAGTCCAAGTTGACGTGAAAAGATCCTAGCCCTTACCGGGAATTTAACCCAGAACCTCTAGCACTTGAGGCGGACACCATGCCTCAAGACCTTGATGCCCCCAAGCCTAAGGAGAATACTTGGCATTAAGCCGCAGGACAAGATCACGAACACTGAGGTACTGGAAAGAGCAGGTATTACAACAGTCTTCTCAATGCTCAATCTAAGAAGACCAGGTGGCTGGATCACAACTGGAGAATGGAGGATGGGAGAGTCCCTAAGGACATCCTCAATGGTGAATTAAAGATGGGTAGAAGATCTTGAGGCCAGCCTCTACTACGATACAAAGATGTGTGCAAGCAGGGCATGAAAGATACAGGTACTGAGGCGGACTCGTGTTAACAAAATGTCATGGACCGTGTTGTGTGGAGGGGGCATATCAGGAAAGGAATGAGAATTAAGGAAGAAATGATTGCAGAAAGGATGAGAACTGAGCGTCAGAGAAGAAACAGACTGAATACAAATGTTGACAACAATGGTCCTGAAATCCCATGCTATAATTCTGAAAGACTTTTCTTAACGTGGGCAAGTCTTGCTAGTCACACTCGCCATCGCCATGGGCTGTGAGTCTCCTCATAGCACATTATTACACTATCTTTTGGAAAGACGGAAAGGTGCCAGTTGTTCTCGTATGAATGTCATCTGTTCAGCAACAGTTGCAAAGTGCTGAATGTGATATTGCATAGTAAGACTAAAAACCACTAACATATGTCACGTAAAGGATATACAGCTAACATTTATCTCTGCAGTCAATCACAATACACCTAACAGATTCTAGATAACTGATCTAGAGAAATTAGACGCAGGCAGTCAGTACTTTTCAGACCTGATAAAGAAAAGGTTTGAGAACTTAGTAATTATTGGCAAGATTGATGGAAAGAGAGCAATGGGTAGGCAAAGAGATAAACGCCTAGATGGCTTAGTCACATAGATGCATAGATGGGTAAAGAGAAAATAACATTTACCTGATTGGTAATTCCGGTGATCATGTCAGATGGTGAAACATGAAAATTGATGTTTATTGGCACATGGCACTTGATGATGATGATTATCATAATAAAGTGCCTTGCTGAATGGCCTCTCCACGATCTGCGTGCATCAGTTTGTGTGGTTACACCCCTCCATGCCATGACAAAAGGCTGTCAAGAATCTTCTCACATTGTCTTCCGCTGACTCTCTTTCCACAGATATTTTTGGTGGTCACAACAAGTTCCAATTTCCTGCTTCTCATAACATGACTAAAAATGATGACTGATGTTTGTGAAAAGTTGTCTTTGAGCCCTCACCACTTTCAAAACATCTGGGTTGCTCTTTTTTTTTTTGGCTGTCTGAGGAGCTGATTGTGAACAAATGAGATAACAGAAATAACTCTTGCCTGTTCAGCGTGAAGGTCATCTCTGTCATGCATGTGCTGGTGTTTACCAAGGTCAGTGGTGATCTCACCAACTTCGGTGTAGAACTGGACATCGATGTGCTTCTTTTTCCCAAACAGGATGGCATTCTAAAACAAACATGACTAGAGTTCACACAAACCCTAACTACTTTACAATGAACATTAACTATTTGATTAATTGCAAATAAATAATTTCAAAAAGAACGAACTAATGTTTTCTATTACTGAAAACCAGAAGAACTGAAAATGATTACGTAGCAAATGTTAGAGAAAATATAACATTTTATGCAACTATAGTCGGTGGTCATGGGTTCGCTCCCTGGCGGAGCCGGACTTTTCTTCAAAAATGACCTTGGCTCCCTGGCGGAGCCGGACTTTTCTTCAAAAATGACCTTGGCTCCCAGGTCGACCCAGCCTTGAGTGGTTACCGGGTGTAATCCCGGGAAGAAGAGGCGGCCAGCGTGATGCTGACCACATCACCCATCTTGTGTCGTTGGTCTATACAAATATAGGTCTAGCCCTATATGCCCTTTACGGCGTGGAAAAGGGTCCTTTACATTTTTACTTTATAGTCGGTGGACAGTAGCTGAGGTTTGAGCTTCACTGCAAAAAAGGTTACCCATAACCGCTCGTTGATGTGCCAGTGGAAGTCCCACAAAATAGCTGTCACTGTTCTATTTAAAAACTAGTGGAAAAAACAATTAATCTGGTGATGTCCAGAAACGTGCACATCTAGTGAATATATAAGGCAGTCGACAAATGTTCCAACACCAACAGTCACCACCAGAATTACAATGTGTCACTGATAGAAGTAGTCAGTAGTGACAAGTTGACCATTCATGCAATATTAATACCTAAGGCACTTAGCCAGCATGAATGCAGACTAACCACTGATGCAACTATAAAAAGAGAAACAGTGCTCGTTGGTCACTAATGGAAAGGGAAGCACTGGAGAACATCATGATGACAGGTCAGCAACAGAGGAGGATGAGGCAGACTGATAGAAACGGTGCTTGGATGGACTAAGACAATTACATGGAAGATATCATTAACAGAACTGATCCAGAACACCAAGGATCAAAATCTCTGGATGACGTGAATGCTTACACCATCAAGCAAGGTATATGGCAATGATGTTTACTGGAGAGAAAAACCCGAAATGAACAAAGATCATATGAGGTATACGTATGAGATTAAAAAAAACTAGTAGAAAGTGATCTCAGCTTTTAGTTCATTTGGAATAATGATTTGTACTCTTAAATTGAAGTTTAGAATGATGATCTCATTCTTAGGCTGAAGTGAAGTAGAACTATTTTTTAACCATCCAACTGAAGCATGAACAATGATTTCCCCTTACAGTGAGATTAAGCAGAATTATTTCTACCTTCAAACTGAAGCGTAAAACAGTGATCTTTCCTTTAAGCCGAAGCAAAGAATTATTATTTTTACCCTTAAACTGGAGTGTACAACAATTAGATTACCTTCAAACTGAAGTGGAATAAAGATGTTCTTCTTTAAACTGAGGTGGAATAAAGATGTTCATCTTTAAACTGAAGTGGAATAAAGATGTTCATCTTTAAATTGAAGTAGAATAAAGATGTTCATCTTAAAAATGAAGTGGAAAAAAGTTGCTCATCTTTAAACTAAAGTGGAATAAAGATGTTCATCTTCAAATTGAAGTGGAATAAAGATGTTCATCTTTCAATTGAAGTGGAATAAAGATGTTCATCTTTAAACTGAAGTGAAATAATAAAGATGTTCATCTTCAAATTGAAGTGGAATAAAGATGTTTATCTTTCAATTGAAGTGGAATAAAGATGTTAATCTTTAAACTGAAGTGAAAAAATTGAAGTGTATAATGATGATCTTACCCTTAAGTGGAAGTGAAGAAGAATGATCATCTCCCCATCACAAGGCTGAAAGAATGCATGTTTAATGTTGTTGTACAAAATATCAACCTTGTCTCCACGGACAGAAGTGAACCGGAAACCTGTAATCATACAACAGTTACAGGCAGTTATAATTTATGCTGTTAATTTCACATGTCTGAAGAATGATTGCAAACAATTATGCTGCTTTAAGATGGAAACATCTGTATAATATTCTTCTCCCTATCTCTTAGGAGTTAGAGAAGGTTGTTCACTGACTGGTAGCAACTGGTGTTCGTAGGCAGTTCGCAGCTGTGTCTTGAGAGTGGCAGACAAGGACTGCACACAGCGTTGTGACTCAATCTGACTCATACAAGTTCCAAACAAAAGTGAAAAATCAAGCAAAATCTTTCGCATCTAAACAGGAGTCATGGGCAATGACAACAGCTCAAAGAAGCCAACTTCAGGCCTCAGAAATAAGATATTTGAGAAAGGTGGTCCAGGTAACAAAGTTCACAATCAGACAGTATGTCAAGATCTTGAAACCCAACCTGAGGATTCAGACACCATGGACAGTACTGGTTAGGATGTCATTTTTGCCCCTGACAGAAAGAAAAATATTTACCCTTTTAAGGATTGGAACCCGAGTCTCTGGCATGACAGCCCAGTGTTCTTATATTCAGCATATCACTCCTCAAATATAACTAAACATCCCACTAATAATAAAATGGAACCAGTTAACTTAACCAGTCTGGTGGCTTTCATAAAAATAATCAGAACTGTGGGATTCCCATTTTTACTTCTGTCAACCTGTCCAGCATTTTCTCTCTATGTCTTGCTCTGCCTCTTTTCCCCTCTGACTTTCCTTCCATCAAGATATTCTCCAGTTTTCTCCTTCTCCTAACATGACCAAAGAATACAGTCTCCTTCTAGTATGCGTAATCAGTTCTCTATATGTGTTAATTTCTTTCAAGACATCTTCATTACTCTTTTTATCTGTCGAAAGTTTCTCAACACTTGTCTACAAAACCACATTTCTTCTGCTGCTTCCACATAATCTTTCACTAATTGACTAAATGGGAGCTGCCATACAACAGAACTGGATTTCTAATCTCACAATGCTCTTCCTCACCAAAATAAACAAAGAAAGATTGTATTTTAGCCTGTTATGCTAAAAATTATTGTAAATTCCTGATGTAAAATTCTGTGTGAATAGATGATCAAGTCTCATAAAAATTGGTATGTTTCTAGGATTTAATGCTGATGATGTAAACAACAGAACATCTGGGAGGAAGGCAAGAGGAAGACCAAGAAAGACATGGATAAATGGTGAGCAGAAACCTGAAAAAAAGATACACAAATCTATCTCCCAAGCCACCCGAGAAGTGCCAGACAAATACAGAAAACCACGACACTGAGGTACAACCTGGTATCAGTGAGATGACAAAAGAAGAAGAAGAAGATGCGATAATTTATTTACCATATTATTCTATGTACAAGTTCCTGTCATGTATAAGATTACCTCTATTTGCAAATTAGGAAATAAATATTTTAAACACATTCCATATATATGACAAATCCCAATTTAAAACTTGCAAAAATATGGGAAAACATAGTTTTATACACAGAGAAATACATCAATTTTGTGTCACCTCCATAACAGAGGTGGCCTGCAGTGGATATATAGGCCCACTGCTAACTGTTGGAATATTATGTGGTAACATACTCTTCTAGCCTGTGACTCTTGTACCACTGACTGAACGTTGAATCGACATCTCAGCACATGAGACACTCCCGTAAGAGCAACCATACAAGAATGCAGGACAGCTGCTATCCAGTTCATCAGTCAGGGACACACTCCCTTCTTCATGAGCACAGATATCAAAATATCATATCTGACTCTTTTGTAGGCATCTTCAAGATCAAGTGCTGCTACTACCATCTCCTGTATATTCTGGAACTCCTCATAAGCATCAAAAGCAACAGTAGCTGCATTTGACCAGGTATCTTTCCTTGGCTGGCATCTACCTAACCTTTCTGGCAAGAGCTCTTCCCTTTCCAAAACCATACCGGTCTAAAAACCATGATTATTGTCTAAGTTAGATGCATTGCGTATCATTTACAAGATGTTTTAGAACAAACCTCAGCATTTTTGTGTGTGGCTGTTTGTGATTTCACTAGGCAGTTTTATGTTCAGTAATTCATTGTAGTTTGTGAAGGTCGGCTATTGATACCACTGTCAAAACCAACATAAGGTGATCTGCTGCCAAATCGCCCACGGCTGGGATGAAACCGGCACCCTGGAATTATGAAGCACATTCACAAGGCCTAAGCCAGATGCAGTCTGTTTTCCTAAAGCAGTGGAAATCGGACGTTACATCTCATGGATTGTGAAACATTTTCCCTAACCCCCACACCACAGAGCTGCTGGCGTGATAACCCCACCAGGCATATCGACACACAGGAAACAGTGGGAACTTTGGCACCAGTTCTATTAAGAAAGAAATGTTGTTTAAAGGGAAAAAATCATGAAGAATGCAATATTACCATTTGTGTGAGCTTCTAAAATGCCAGAAATTCTTTTGGACACAATGTTTGGTCGAATGTATAAATCTTTTAATTTTGGGTTGCCCCTGTTTGGGTTGATGATCAATGTATCTTGTTTCACAATGCCCTGAGAATTGAAATTAAAGTCGTTAAGTATTGTAGCATATATGGGTCACATAATAATGGGCATCTGTTTGAATATAAAATTGAAAAGCAAAAAGGTAAAGTTGGAAGATGTTATCCAGCGTCATTGCACATGGTTATAAACCATAGGTAATCTGCCACGAGTGCGGACAGCTGATAAGAAACTTTTCCGCCTGTGTCGCCGTCTGCAGTTGACGTTCATCCATTTACCCCAGAGTGTTAACTCAGGTACCCATTACCTAGAGGCTCAGTGAACCATGGGAACCGCCCCGTTTCGAACACCGACCGTGGGCTGCAAGAAGTCACAGCTGGATTTGAAAGCTAGTCTCCTATCGACTGCACTAATGCGGGGATTAGTAACACTGCTGATGTTCTTTTGATGTTCTCTATATAGTCCATACTATGTGACTTTGGTCTTCATCTCTGTTGATAGCCATCTGTCTTGTGTACTCTCTAGGGTCTCACTGTTGGGGAATAAGTCAAGATAGGTAAACGGATGTGCGTGCAAAACTCAAATTCTGAAACAAGACTAAAGTGGACGAACAACCAGAACTTTCAGCCGGAGTTTACAGTTGTGTACTAACAATCAATAATAATATCATGTTCTTTTCACAGGAGATTCCAAAGTGAAGAGAAAACACACTGAAAAATCGTAAATGTTTTACATTAAAAGTGGCAGTATATGTAGTAGTAGTGACTATTTGGAAAAGCCATATTTCTTTAGTGTTTTCTGATACACACACAGAAACAAAAAATAAGTAAGTACATGATGCCATGGAGTGGAATCAAGGGGTAGATTTATTAACACATCAGGCATTGCTTGGTACTTAAAGAATTAAAAGTAGTAGAGACATGGCAAAAACACTGCCAAGAAAAATTCCTGTGAAAAAACACTATATCCATAAAATGACACTTATTCTTCTGCATTTGCCATCAAAATGGTGGTTGGTGGAAATATCTGTGCCTTTTGGCCCAACACATCCATTTCAGCAGTTTTAATTCTTCTTCTTCTTAAAGTCCGTACCGTTTAGCGTTGCCAGTCATGTTTATTCACAACCTTCTGTCTCGTGTACTTTCAATCAACTCTGACACAGATGATCGTCGATGCTATGATGTCAAACTGTCCAGCATCTTTTCGCTCCGTCTCCCTCTGACTCCCCTCCCCTCCAGTTTTCCTACTGTCACGATGTACTGTAGCTATCTCCTTACTATCACAAGATCAAAGAATGTAGATCGTCTCTTTCTAATGTGGGCAATCAGTTTTCTTTGTTTTAATAAGTCCCCTTGAACATGCCTGTTCAGTGGTAGTGGATTCGTTCTTTCCTCCCCAAAATGGGAATTTCGGAACCCATACAAGGAATCAAATGCCAATAAACATAAAATCCTAAACAATCTCAAATAAAAATTTAAAAAATGTCATATTATAATTTTCAATTAACAGGCTGCAAAGGGTAAAAGCTAAAATAAAGGAGAAATAAAGTTTACCTCCTTCTCTCTCTCTTCTGCTTCTCTGGTTTTGAACCTTTTCTGAACTTCTTTGATCAAACGGAAAGCAGTATTTAGATTGGCAGACGGTGCAGCAATTTCACCAGGTTCCTTAGTGTTTGAACTCCGATAAGTGCTGCCAAATAACGACAATACATAATGCAGTTATTATAAAGCTAATTTGAAAGACTGGTGTTGGTACAGGTAGTATTTAGATTGGCAGACGGTGCAGCAATTTCACCAGGTTCCTAAGTGTTTGAACTCCGATAAGTGCTGCCAAATAAAGACAATACATAATGCAGTTATTATAAAGCTAATTTAAAAGACTGGTGTTGGTACAGGTAGTATCAGACCCTGAGAAGTGGCACTGGAGCTCTGGAGGTCGTGCTCTGTGCGACACTCTCGGCAGACAGCTAGCTGTTGTGAGGAGAGAGACTGAGCCAGACAAGATAGAACCCAGTGCAACAAAGTCAATCCTCTCACCTTTACCCTTTAGATCACATCATATGGTTTATAAAAGTAATGTTTCTAAAGATCCCTGGAGACAGTTAGTGGAGCTACAGAGTTAGTGCTTTCTGCAGTGGTCTCGGTTGGTGGTCAGTCGTTCTAGGGTAAGAGACTGCTGATCGACCTTTATGTGATAAAACCTAGTGCAATAAAATTATTTCTCTCACCTTTAAACTCATCATCATCAACCGGCAGGTCTTGTGCAGAATGTCACTTGTGTAACGGCAAGCCTGAAAGTCTTTTTTTTCTAGCCAATTCTTCAGCCCTATGTGCTTTCATAGCCCAATGCATCTTCAGTATCTCGTATCCACGTTCACAGCGGTCTGCCTCTGTCTCATTTTCCAGAAACTGTACTTTCCATCACTATTCTTTCCAGGTCATCATGCGGGGCTGAGCGGTCTCGAAGTATGGTATCTGCCTCGAGTGCTGAAGGTCCCGGGTTCAAACCCCGGTGAAAGCTGGGATTTTTTCCCGTGGACTTCTTGTAATTTTCCCTGGTCTCTGGGTAGTAAGACCAGATGTCCATGTGTAATGCTGTGCACATAATAAATACCTAGGCAGTTGGAAATCAAAAAAAGAGTAGCCTAACGGCGCTGCCTGCGCCAAATTTTGAGTTTAAAATCTTCCCGAAGTTTTTCAGGATCCTCACCGGTGCAACAGAGTTCATGCACTGTGCTGAGATTCTTCAGACTCAGGCTTGAGTTAGAATTACAACTGAGCACTTATGTGTTACACCCATGTGTCATGATGTTGAACTGCTGAATAAAAATAAACATAACCATGACCAATTTACCTTATAAACTCCTGAATTAAAATAATGCTTTGTGCTCAAATGATACAAACCAGTTTTAAAAAGTCAAGAGAAAAACTTACATCTCCTTCAAAAATATCATATCTGGATTGGGGAAGCTTCCCTCATTTCTGCCGAGAGTGGAGCCCGGATGGAAAAAGTTAATTCTCAGGTAGGTGTACTCTCCTTCTACAGACTGGCTGATATTCTGCATCAAGTTAACAATGAGAACATCTCATTACAAATAGGCAACAAAAGATTGTTTAACAAGAATTTCATTAGTCTAAGTCTGGGACTTTGCTGTTTCACTTTTCAGTTTTTGTGTGCGGTACAGGTTTTTTTGTCGGATCATGCCTGCTAGTTTCTACAAATATAATTAACATGCTTTCTTCTTTTTCTTTTTCTGTGTTCACCCTGAAAGGGGCAGTTGGCACATTGTGTTGTGGTTTACAGCTAGGCTGCAATATCTGCGCCTTTTGGCCAACCACTTAGATTTCTACAAAACCCTAATTAGTCGCCTTTTACAGCAGGCTTGTCAGGGAGCAGTGGGTCTATTTCACTTCTTCTCCAGCCCGCTCCCCCCATCCCCTCCCCCCTCATGGAGCGATAGAACCCACAGGGAGGGAGTATGTTTTTTTAATGTGTCTGTACTGTGCTTTTTAACATTTATTTAGGGGTAGGGGTGGGGGGGGGGGGGGGGGGGGGAGGGGCAGCTTAAATCTTCAGTGATTTTAAAATGGCTCCTGATAACACTTTTTTTAATGGGCTTAAACATACTATGCCTTTGAACAAATTCAGAACATGGGAGTAAGCAGAGAAAAGTTTTCAGTAAAGTTACTAAAGATCTTGCAGCCCATACATAAGATATGAGCCCTTTCCCACACCTTAAAGCTCAGAAAGTATAAGGTTAGAAGATCAACTGGAACCTGATTAAAAGATCAATTGGAACGTGATAAGTATCTAGCAGCTATGCCCCATTATTTTAACCCTTTTGCCCCGGTGACCTATAAAATTAATTAGGCCAATGACCCTTACTTCAGGATACCAGAAAAAAATACTTAAAAAACAACACAATTTTACACAGGTCATGAAACAAGATCCTTAGAATTCCTTTCATGGACAAGAGAAATGTTACATTCCATACTCATATGCCCCATTATATTAACCCTTCCACCCCAGTGACCTATAACAAAAATAAAGCCAATGATCCGTACTTCAGGAAGACCAGAAATAACTTAAAAAACAATACAATTTTACACAGGTCACGAAACAAGATCCTAAAAATTCCATTCATGGACAGGAGAAATGTTACATTTCATACTGAGTAAAAGTAATGAATAAACACGAATGCAGCAAAAATTCACCCGGTTACATATCTATAATAAAAAAGAAAACAATTATACATGACTCATTCTTCCCGGTCACCTATTACCACTATGACTTGTAGGAAATGGTGACATCACAATTTCAACAAAAAAGTCAATTTTTCCTCAAGAAAATCCTCTCCTAATGCTACTTTTAGCAAATATAATCATTGCCAATCATCCTAAAAGTTTCTGCCTGCCTAAATGAAACAAGTTACTATCGCAATGTCAGAAAGAGGGGGGGGGGGGCAGGGGGACCCAACTGGAAGGGTCTAGTTGTGGCTTCTCGAGGTGACAGGGTTAACCAGAATAGTGGCTGTTTTGTCCTTATGCTTGTGATAATCAGCCTTTGTGAATCTGCTTTTTACCGGATCCCTGGTATATTCTGCCATACAATCTTTATGTTCACTGGCAGAAACTACAGGGAAAAGCCCTGGTTGTTTGTCCCCTTCTGGACTTTCTGTTCCAGGACTTTTGAGTGCACATACATTTTACAGATCTAGCTTATTGCTTATATTTAAGTCAGCTTGTTGGTCCCTTCCCTCTCTATCAGGCAGATGCATTCCTGCTTCAAAAGAAACGGTGACCTCTCTGCTGGCCAGGTCAGTGGTTGGGAACATCTTTCTTGGATGACCCCAGAGAGGTGTAGATAGGACTTTACCTGTAGGAGCCCTGTTCAGTGCATGAATAAGCCTGGTACATCATCATTAAAGGGAGCCGCCATGGTCTAGCAGCCAGATGCTCGTCTGCAGATCAGAAGGTCATGGGTTTGGTTCTTGACGGGGGCTGGACTTTAAAAAAAATTACCTTGGCTTCCAGGTCGACCCAGTCCTGGGAAGTAAAGGCAGCCGGTGTGATGCTGACCACATCACCCACCAAGTGACGTTTGGTCAATAAAATTTAAGTCTAGCCCCATATACCCAATACGTTTGAAAGGCATGGAAAAGAGTCCTTCACTTGTTGTTTTTTTTACTTACTTCATCATCATCATTAAATGATCTGCCATCTGGTGTTGGTAATCATGCTTTTATCTAATTGTCTTCCACAGAATAAGCTCATTGTCACCGGCACTTTTTTGCTGTTGTTGTTGTTTTTGGCACCTTTATATCTTTCCAGATGAGTGTTATATTGTGCTATGAGGAAACCTGGGACTCACAGCCCACGGAGATGGCGAGTGCGACTAGCAAGACCTGCCAGTGTTAAGAGAAGTCTTCCACAATTATAGCCATTGTTGCCCTATTTCATATTTAGTGCATTTTTTCTCAGATGCTGAGCTCTCATCCTTTCTGCAGTAAGCATATTAATAACTGCAAAAAATACATATGTCGACTAAAGGAACACTAATACACTAACTTACCTTAATAGTAGAAATATGAAATGGTGTGGCTGTGCCAAATATAGGCAGAACAAGAGTCTCATATCTTTTGTCTGAAACAGAAAAGCGTTTTCTTGAGGGAGAAATGTGTATTATTGACAGTTTTAATGTATTTTTAAGTTCTAAGTTTTCTTGAGGAAGAAGTGTTTATTATTGATTGTTTTAATGTATTAAAAACTCCATGAAGTATTTATAAGTTCTAAGTTTTCTTGAGGAAGAAGTGTTTATTATTGATTGTTTTAATGTATTAAAAACTCCATGAAGTATTTATAAGTTCTAAGTTTTCTTGAGGAAGAAGTGTTTATTATTGATTGTTTTAATGTATTAAAAACTCCATGAAGTATTTATAAGTTCTAAGTTTTCTTGAGGAAGAAGTGTTTATTATTGATTGTTTTAAAAAATGAAAATAAAATTTCAATCCTAATCGGAGAAGCGAGCACAGCAAGAGACTTCATATCATTATATGAAGTTTCTTCTTCTGCGAATGTTTCAGACTGTTTCCCTCTTTATATTCTGGGAAAAATGACACTGTGCATTTAAACCTTTTTGCTAGATTGTATTTGTTAACAGATGATAGCAATGAGAACATCATGCAAGATGGTGCCATGGCCATTGTCGTTTACCACATCTTTACGGCTGCCCGGGTAAAAACAGGCAGTCATGTTTGATCGTTGTTGAAACTGTACTTCAGTTATAAAGGATTCACTTATTTGCTTCATTTATGTAATTGTTACTGTAGTATGCACCTGACGAGATACAGCAAAATATGCCAGGCAATAAATTGTGCAATCTCACACCCCTATTGTTTGTGTCTTCTTTGTTTAAATTGATTCTGTTTAAAAAAAAATTTTTTTTAACTAACATGATGTAATTTTCTGTGGTTTTGCTTGTCTGCAGGAACCTCGCGATGCTATGCAGCTACTTGCATTGCGCTGATATCCTCCTGTGTAAGCTCCAAGTATCATGCCTTTATGGGAGTTGTTAGCCTAAAAACACTTGGAGACATACTCAGGAAGAGATCAGAGCACTTATTATCATGTACGATTAAGATGGTCTCTAAAATGAACAATGAACAGTAAATAAACCCTTGCACTAACTTTGAAACACAGATTCACCACTAATTCCGACTGTTCCATAAATGTGCAGCTGAGTGGGGCTACTCAAAAACTACTACAAAAAATACTACAAAAAATAATTGTGTTAACTGGGAGACTAAAAACAATACATCAGTGCTGGGACCCAAATCTGGTTCATGTTAACTGAAAGTTCTTCTTAAGTGAGTTAGCTATTAGTTTAGCTATTAGTTAGATGACAGATTATCCTCACTGTACATTAAACTATTCAGTCCATAAGTGCTTAAACCCCCTCATCAGTAAATCCCGCAGCATGTAGTGGCTGAGGACACCAAACCTGTGTTGGTTTCTCGCTCTTCTTTGGCTTCCTACCTAGTGCTTTTGTGTGGCCACACCCCTTTTAACATTCTGTTCTTGCTGTATGTTCATGGCTGTAGATTCACAACCTTCCCTTGGTTCTCACAAACATCTCACTTCTCGTAGAGCATTCAGTATATCAGTCAATGGCACATCCACCTGCCATGGTAGCTTTATTTGCAAGTCTACCAGCTTGCACATTTCTTTGAACACATGTGTGCCCTGGTACGAATGTGAAACTGATCCCGGCCACCTCAGAGACTCCAACCACTGTCTTCAGATCCAGCCCATCTCTATTTTCCTGAGCACACTCAGTGAGTCACAAAGAAAATGTGCAGGTAAAGATCTGTGTCTCCACCCATGTTATTGCTTTGGTAACTGTCATGACCTCCATAAATATACTTATTGAAGTCATGGTAGAAGCACTAGAATCTTGCTTCACAATTCTAATTCCAACCTGAGCCGTAAAAGACCACGAGCTTCTCCCAAAGCAAACTACTGACCCATCTGTTTAAATGACAGCCTCCCTCTCTAGAGTTCTCAAAAATCAAGGCCTGCACTTCAGCCTCCACAGTCGCTGGTCTTTGTTGTCTGCATTTTCTGTCTAGTAGAATGCAAACAAAAAAGGTAGTACAGAACTCTGTTGGCACCTGTACATATTCCTCCCCAGGTTCTATGACCTCAAGAGAGCACAGTTGCTGAATAATGTCCCGGCCTGACCTATCCAAAATGTTCCTCTTTTTTTAGCCTTAAGTGAGTTGGTGTTAACAAAGTTTTACTGTACCTTGAAGACTAAACAAGCGCTTACCAACAAACAGTTTTAAATCTCGGCAATCTGCATCATCAGGAAAGTGACTGGCATTTTTGTAAGAGATGTTTGACTTTTTGGATCTTGAGGGAAAACAGCAAATTTTGGAAAATTATTTTGAATTCTATAAATAATAAAATCAAAATTTAATATGCTCCTAACATACCTAATTAATCTTCTTCTTCTTTTTATTGTTTACGGACTGTAAGCTCCAGTGGAAAGTCTTGGTTGTTCATCCATTGGGACTCTGGCTTTGTGCCAGGATCTGAGTTTTGAATGTACATCTGTTTTACTGGCTTGTGTGCAGCTGGTTGTTCCTTGCCACTCTGACAGATGCACTCTAACTTTGAAGAAAGCTCCCCAGTCAGTCGACTTTTATGACATTTTTTTGGGTTTTGTTTTGGGTAGGCAGTTGGTCTGTTTTTGTTTTCCCCACAGTGGGGCCCCAAAACGCACGGGGGAACCTATTTAATCTAATCAATGCACAAATAAGTATGTAGATGTACTCTGTTAATAATGCAAACAATATAAACAGACTTAGTTATATATTTTGGAGTTTTTAAAATAAGTATAAATAACATCATCATCATTATAAACTTTTGACAGTACATGAGAAAGAAGGTTGTGGACAGGCGTGTTGCCATGAAGAAAACATGGGGGAAGGAGTATTAAGGGGCTTAAAGGACTTTAGCATTGTTTAATTGCGCAATAATAATTATTATTATGTGCTAAATGGCAAATTAGAAAAGAAAATCTACATTCCTTGTTCATGTGATAAGAAGGAGAAAACTTGAGTACATGTTGGATGGAAAAGAGGCAGAGGGAGGGAGAACGAGAGAAAAGATGCTCGACAGTTGACATCAGGGCATGGAGGATAATCTGCATTAGAGTTGACTGAAAAAAAATGCGACAAAAGGTTGTGGACAGACATGACTACCAACACCACATGATATGGACCACACGGTTTGAGAGCTCAATGTGCCTGAGCTCCCAAGTTCCAGCACCTATGGGTGCGCACAGACATGATTAAAAAGACCACACTGCATAGACTATAAAACAAGTGTCTACTACTTCTTAGCATTCACTGGGTGTTAGCTCCAGCAGAGAGTTCTGGTTATTCATTCTCTTCTGTACTTCAGTATTGTTCCAGAACTTGAATTTGCATGCACCACCATTTTACAAATCTGGCTTACTTGTATGCAGACTGCTGGTTCCTTGCCTCTCAGGGAGGTGCGCTCCGACTTGGGAGGAAAAAATAAAAAATCAGTTGCCTTTTACGACATATTTGTTCAGGAGGTAGTGGGTCTATTCTTTTTGTCCAAAATCAAACCTAAGACTTTCAGGCTGGTAGGCGAACCTCTATTCACAGGTATGGCTACGAATGCTCTTTTAGTCTCCAGTATATGAATTTTATAGTCTCTTACAACATTACAAACTTAATCTGTGAGTACTTCTGACCTCTTTTTAGATCTCTTTTAGTCTCTAGTATATCAACACTATAATCTCTAGCAACATCATAAACCTAATCTTTAAGTACTTTTTATCTGCTGCTCCGGTTCGTATCCCTCGGAGCCTCTCCCTGGCCTCTTCATTAAGCCTCCGTGCCAGTTCCTTCTGGTGCTGCTGCCTTTTCTCTTCTGATGGAGCTTCAGTCTGGATGTTAGAAGAAAGCAAAACAGTTGAGATAATCAGTAGAAGATGAGATAATTAGTAACAGTTAAGATAATCAGTAAAAGCTGAGATAATCAGTAACAGTTGAGATAATCAGTAAAAGTTGAGATAATCAGTAACTGTTGAGATAATCAGAAAAAGTTGAGATAATCAGTAACAGTTAAGATAATCAGTAAAAGTTGAGATAATCAGTAAAAGTTGAGATAATCAGTAAAAGATGAGATAATCAGTAAAAGTTGAGATAATCAGTAAAAGCAAAAAGTTTCATACTGCGTCCTTACTAGATTACCACTTCAAACTTTCACACTACACGATTTTCACTTCTCGCAAGTAGTAATGGAAGTTGTGGTGGCACAGTGGCCAGATGCTTACTTGTAGACCCAAAGGTCTATGGGTTGAATCTGCACTGAGTTTGATTTTTTCAAAGATGATCTTGGCTCTCAGGTCAATCCAGCATTAAATGGGTAGCAGGAGAAGTCGTCCTGGGAAGTAAAGGGGCCAGTGTGATGTTTACTTCATCATCCATCAAGCGCCGACTTGTCAAAAAAAAATAACAGTCTATTTTCATTTGCTCGTTACCCCGTTGGAATAAAAAGGGTTCTTTATATTTTCTTCCTTTTTACTAAGGAATAAGCAATTTTTAAACGTGGGCACATCTAACTACCTGTGTTCAAAATGACAACTGTGCATAATTTAAATGTAGTCTAGTATGATACACAGTGGTACTAAATTGATTTCTCAACCAGCGTGTGTCTCTGCAATACAGAATGAACAATTGATTATCAATAAATCCTGTACATGAAACGACACCAGACAGTCATGCTATGGATTTTATTTTCATTTCATTTCGTATTTTGTGGCTAGTGTACCAGTGTCTACACTGTATGTATGCAAATGTATATGTTTATTTTTTTTATACATACATGCAAATGTACAAAGATTTTCTTTTTTCAAATTAAATCTTTATATATTTGTTTTATTTTTTTTATTTTTCTTGTTTTTTAACAATCATGAAACTCTAACTGTTCTGAAGGCCCACTATGACCCCTGTAAGATAAGACAATAGTAGGTAGGTGAACAACATCTAAAAAGCAGCTGAACAACACCCATGTCATGAACATCCACAATGGAAACTTATGCTGATGATAGCAATGAGCGTGATTCTGGTCTGTCAAGAAGGAACAAACCCTCATTAAGTTCCAGACGTTTTTTAATTATGTGTGAAGTATTCAAATCTCAAGAGTTTACACTCCAAACAAAAACACACACACACAAATCAATAACGGGGGGAAGGGGGGGGGGGGGGGGGTTATCTAGTAGTTCCCGGAAATATATCTGAAGGACTAGGTGGGCAGTTATGCCTTTTCAACTAGACACTAAACCTGTGCTACTATGCTGTTAAGTTAGTACACTATCCAACCACTGCCTTTTTCAACATTAAAAGACAGATTACCCAGGCATGTACCATTTTCAAAACAAATTAGAAAAAAAGACAATTCTCCTCCTCCCTTTCTCAAAGTTGTCACAGACAAAATGCTTACATGCAAAATTAAGGGAAGTTTATCTAACTGGCTGGATCTTCCAAGTCAGATACAAGGAGATGTAAAAACCTCATGCTTTGCAGGTAGACAAGCAAACAGTCAAAGACAAGGGAAAGAACACTTTTTCTAAATGCCTGTTGAAACTGGGCGTACTAGGCTACAGATTTAACAAATGAGTGCAGTAAAAGTTATCTGATAATTAACTCACACTTAGAATAAAAAAATAATTGTCATATAAGAGATAAAAGTACTGTAAGAAATTTGATTTCCAAGCAGTTAATGCAGGAGATAGAGAGAGAGAGAGAGAGAGAGAGAGAGAGAGAGGAGAGAGAGAGAGAGAGAGAGAGAGAGAGAGAGAGAGAGAGAGAGAGAGAGAGAGAGCAGATAGAGAGAGAGAGAGAGAGACAGACAGACAGATAGACAGAGAGAGAGATTGACAGAGACAGAGTGAGTGAGTGTGTGCATGTGCAGGTGGGTAGGTGAGTGGGTGCTTGTGTGTGTGTGTGTGTGTGTGTGTGTAAAAACACTTTATCCAGCAGTCGTGGGTTTGATCCCAGAGAAGACAGAGTCAGATATTTCTCCTGAACAGTACAACTATGGTATTAATCCAGCCTCACAGAACTGATATTAGAGATTTTTCTGGGACAGTGAAAGCAGCCAGTGTTAGATTTAACACATTACCACACAAATGCGGTCAGTCACAGAAAAAAAGATGGGCCTAACACAATATCTTCAACGTTTTTAATATATATTAACTGGCTTTAAGTCACTCACAAGTGACTACAAAAATATGATTAATTTAAAAAAAAATTAACACATACATTTGCATACATATATACAGTAGGCATTTGTGGTTAAGGTGTTGCAAATGCACTTTGTAATTCCAAGGCACCTGGTTAAATTTCAGCTGCAGACCACCTTGTGTTAATTCTGACAATGGTATTATGAGTCCACAATTCAGCCTGTAATGGCAAACTAATGATAATAAAATTGCCTAGTCAAAAAAAAAAAAAAAAATGCTATGGTTGTTTAAGCAACATCCTGTAAAGGATAAGCAATCAACTGTTGTGTCAAATAAACATTCATAAAAGTTATGGGTGTGAGATGGCATAAAAGTTATGAGTGTGTGACCAGACTAAGCTGATGGCTGGGGAGTACATGTTTGCCTGGCATGACTGACTCATGAATACACCCACTGATCAGGAGCCGCCGTGGTGTAGCAACTAGATGGGGGCTGCAGATCTAAAGGTCATTGGTTCAAAACCAACTGAGCCAGACTTTCACAAATCACCTTGGCTCCTAGGTTGACTTAACTTTGAATGAGTACTGGGCGAAGTCCTTGGAAGTAAAGTGGCCGGTGTCATGGTAACCATATCACCCACAGAGTGCTGACTGGTTTATAAAATACAGGTCTAGCACTATAAACCAAACATGAAAGCGTGGACAAGGGGTCAGCCAATAATCATCAATTGGTCAGTTAGAAATAAAAAAAAACAGGACTTGCAACATATGTACAATACGGATAGAGGCGTGAAAATGGGACCTTCACTTTACACACATACATACATAGATAAATACATATAACCATACCCGTGTTCTGCTCTCCACCATAGCACTTCTTCTCCCTCCTCTACCTAACAGCTGTTCAGCTTCTTTCTCTAACTCATTGTCCTCATCCTCTGCTTGTTCCTCCTCATCGTCATCTTTGAGAAATATGCCTATGTGTTTTAATCTCTTCTTAGCTGTCGTCAGAACAGTTGCCGGAGAACCCTAAAAATGTCAATGCATCATGGCAATACAGAGCATAATACATAATACAGTCGCACAATGAAGAGATTATGAATGAACCAACTTTATTTTAAAAGGGTAAAGAACTGGGCATGCAGCAGGCCCATCTAACATTCTGCCCTTCTAGTCCACTCCTTGCATACAGTTATTCATTCGTACATCATTTCACAGTTAATATAATTTTTTTTCAATGTTCACAACATCTAAGTTTTAATTACAAACGCTGGAATGTGCTCTAATTATACTTACATTACTGAATGTTTTAAAAAGTATAGTAATAAATCTAATCCAAAAAAATTTATAAGTCTAAGAGGTTGCATGATTGAAAACAAAAAATCATCAGCAACAGTTAAATATTAGGTACAAACGATGGAATGCGTTCGACTGGCACCTTCAGTTTTAAACAATGATAACTTTCAGTTTAGAAAGTAATAATAAAAACATAAAATAAGACATCCAATGGAAATACATCATTTGCTAATCATACCATAATCTTTTAAGGGGGCATATAGTCTGTAGTGAGATAATATTCAAACAGTTTCTGATTTTATGTATAGGCGTTAGTGGTATTTTTAATTTCCTGTAAAAGATGATTCCACAGCTGAGCTTGAGATTACGCTAAGGTTGTTTTTTATAAGTCTATTCTAGATTTAGTAATATGCAATATGTTAAGGCATTTGTTATGCCTCCCATTGTATTTAAATAATGGCCAAAGGTGACATAGGGAATTTCTGGATATAATTTTCTGAATAAGTTTAGCCTTACTGAATAGTAGGTGTTCACAGTTGCTTCATTGATTATTAGTTACTAAACCCACAGCCCTTCTTTGGAGTGCTTTCAGTCGTTTGATGACTGACTTAGTACATCCATTCCATATTGTGGAGCAACAGTCTATGTCAGTCTGAATATGAGAAGTACTGAATAATTGCTTTGTGTTTTCATCCAGAAAAGTTTTAATTTTTGATAATTGGTATGCTTTTTTAGCTGTTAGTTTTCCCAATGACATACATATGTTAGTACAATCAAACAATTGTAAAAATGAAAGTTTCATTTTTATTCTTTTTCCATAAAGTCATTCAGTATGGGGCACAAATTAATAAGATAATAAATGATACAAATGTACAATTTTATTAGAATTATGTTAAATAATAATGTCATAATAGACAAAACGGACAGAAATAAGACAAGATGACACATAAAAAGAAGAAACTGCTAAAAACATTTTACTTCTCTTTCAATTTCTTTCTTTCTTACTTTCTTCAGAAAGAAATTTAAATTTTTCATATAAATCTTTACTGCTACTGTTTACTACTTTTTAAGGCAGTGTAAAAGGCAAAGAATGGTGGGGTGTGGGTGGGGAAGGGGGGGGGGGGGGACCTGGGGTCTCCTGAATGAGAGGGCAGTGCTCTGAACTCTTTCAGTATCAGAAGGTTTTACTTGAGAAAATTATATGAAGAAAACAACTACGATGAAAAAACAGTGTATGCATTACCTTCTTACACCTGAAGTGGCAATATATGCAGATGTATGAATGGTGGGAAAGTCAAATGTTTTTAGTATGTTCTGACCAAACACGAAAAAGTGAGAGAGCACATCCGGCAATGGGGGAACTCATGAGGTAGATTCACTTTCAGTAAGCTGATAATTTTCAGATCACCTATAATGAATGTGGGAGTTGCCCTGGCGGAGTGGCTAAACTCTCGACTGCGGATCGGAAGGTCATGGGTTCGCTCCCTGCTGAGCCAAACTTTTTTCAATTACGACCTTGGCCGACCCAGCCTTGAGTGGGTACTGGGTGCAGTTAAGGGAAGTAAAGGTGGCCAGCGTGATGCTGACCACATCATCCATCTTGTGCTTATTGGTCTATAAACTATTGGTCTAGCTCTATATGCCCTTTATGCCTAAAGACGTGAAAAAGGGTCCTTCACTTTATTAAATGCAAAGTAAATGAGTTGTTTGCACTCAGGCATTTATAGGTGTATTGCACCAAGTCAAATTATCTCCATCCTCCCACTCCCCCACCCATTTTTAAAATGGGATGGTGGTGTGATCAGCGAGCTACACAACCAGCCTAAGGGCTGAAATACTTGGTGATGATGATGTTGATGTTCCACTGGCAAACTTTCCATCGTTCCAGACAACAGTGTCATACTGTGCTACAGGAAGACACAGGAATCCCAGCCCATCTTGATGGCAAGTGTGACTAGCAAGACCTGCTGGTGTTAAGAAGTCTTCCACAGTTAGAGCAAGGAATTTCAGGACCACTGTTGTCACAGCATGTACCTGATGCTCTGCTTCTCAGATGCTTTGCACTTAACCTACCTGCAATCATTTTCTACTTTCACCTTGTCCCTTCCTAACTTCCCTTGCAAATAAGACAAGACAGCAAGCAAGATAATGTATCCCAGTTTTATAAGAAAGTGCCGCTGGAGCTACATCAGCCATGCATTCTGAATGGATAAGACCAGACTCCCCCCCATAATGCCCTCAAATGGACACCAAAAGGGAAAAGAAAATGGGGAAGATCAAGACAGACCCTGCGTACAATCATCATCATGAAAAGCTAAACTATGGGCCTAATGAACATACAAGACCTCAAACAGGTGGCAACGAACCGCCAGACATGGACAGTTATGACTTCTGCCGTAGGCTCAAGAGGAAAGATTAACTAACTAACTAACTTCCGGATTTCCCCCCTCTATGCAACACGGTCCATGACATCTTGTTTCCATGAATCTACATCAATACCTGTATCATTCCCACTTACACACATCTTTATATCATAGCAGAGGTCAACCTGAGCATCTTCTACCCATCAGTAATTCAATGCTGATACACACACACACATTCCTAAAAATACAAACTACCAAAACTAGCATACCTCATTAACGAGCACAGTATCCCCCAAGAATAAGGCAACATTCTTAGAACCTTGCTTCAGACTGGAGAAGCCAATACTGACATTGAATACCATTCCTGTAGATCAGTCACAAATACAAAGGTAAAATACATCAGGAAGGGAGCTAAAAGTAACTGAAACTGGTCAACAACAAAAAGGACCCTTTTCTGCGCCTTGTGGGGTATTTAGTCCTATACCAATATTTTTTAAGGTAAATTTAAGTGGGTGATGTAGTCAATATCATGTCAACTGCTTTTACTTTTCAGGGCTTTACCTGGTACCCATTTTAGGCTAGGTTGACCTGACAGCAAAAGCTGGTTCTGAAAAAAATGCAGCTCGATGCAGATTTTGACCCATGAACTTTGGGTCTACATCTACTTGCTACACCATAAGTGGCTACCCGAGTGAAACTGATAGTGTGACAAAAATATAACCAAGCAACTGAGGGTTTCAATACAAATATTTATTTAAAAACTAAAGCCGACTAAAAAGATTAGTAATTGAAGGTATACAGGTGCTTTGCTAGAAATATTTTTTCAAATCGTCATGTTCAATCAGCATCCCCGAAGTGGAGCTTTAGGTTATAATTGTGACTAGGTTATGTGTTCCATAAAAAATGGCTTAGTACTACACACCACCAAGAGCCCTGAAAAGGACTCCTGATTGTTGAAGCCATCAAAGGAGACAGACCCAAATGCTGCAAAGACTGGCGATGAAGTCACCGGCGAGACAACTAGCGACATAGTGCTCAATGTGATTGGTAAAGGGCTAGTGAAATATCATCAAACAGTATTTATTTTATCTTATTACGCCTTTAGGCATATTGGGAATACAGGGCTAGACCTAAATTTTTATAGCAACAGGAAAGGATAGAATGACTTGGCATGCGTTGATTAGGGGCCTATGCTCGGTTGAGGGCCTATGCTCCATTGGGGGATAAAAGGCAGAAGAAAAGGAAGAAGAAGACAGGATAATGAGTCAAACACTGATCACAAGTAATCAAACCACTATCATTACCAACTTACCTTTCTTGGCTGGTGCCTTTGTCTTTGGTGCAATCAGCAAAGAAGCCTCCCTGAACTCAATGCCCATAGCAAACCCAAAGCTGTTAATCAGGTTGCCTTCAAGTTCTGGGTGGTCCTTTTTCACAACTGACAGACCAGCACTGTAGACATCACTCAGTTTCACACCTATCTCAGGTAAAGCAGAATGTATGTAAGACTCATAATTCTAATTTCAATAAATGGTATAAAGTCTTGTTAAGAATATTTTCTTCTTCTGTTGACTCTAGCAGAAAGTTCTGGCTGTTCGGCCACTTCTGAACTTTGGTCTTGTTCCAGAACTTCAGTTCTTCATGTGCATCCATTTTACAGATCTGGCTTATCTGTATGCCAGTTGGTTTTGTTAGCCTTTTAGGCAGATACACTCTCAATTAGAAGGAAACACTGTACCGAGGAGCAAGCCAAAGGACATGACTCCGTATCCTTGTCTAGACTGATGGACATGGGGGTGCAGCCTGGAGCTGCAAGAAATGAACATTTCATGATGTGGATAATACATTTCAATAACCAACACAAAACAGGTCTCATCAGTCGTTTTACACTTGTGGAGCTTTTGAGGTGAAGATCAAGCACCTATGGATCAGCCCGGAGTGCTGTGAAGATAATCCTTTCTAATCACTAATCATCCCTCTTTATTGCCTTTTATGACAGGCTTTTTAAAGGGACTGCTAGTCAATTCGTTTTCCCTTCCAAAATGGGGCCCGGAATCAATTCATGCAGTTCAGTAAAGTAAAATAAAGAACCCTTTTGACATCTCTGACCCTTTTTGACATCAATATTAGTCTGTTGTTATAAACAGCAAGCTGACGATTATTATTAGTCTGATAATCAGACTCACCTACACTAAACTACAGGTTATTTTGTAAACTTCTTGTGGTGCCCCAATGTAATTGTGATAGATGGCTTTAAGGTTGAATGAGGTTTTCTGTTTAATTCTCATCTTTGAGACCTTAATTCCAGTTACTGCAAAATTTTTACATCTTCATCTTGTCAACAGGTTCTTTGCAAAACACTGTTTCCAAGGGGTGCCAGGAATCAACTGATAAGCTCCTCCTTGCAATTCCATGCCCTCAGTGTCTCAAATATCCTGTGTCCACCTTTGTGATGGATGACACCTACCTCTTCTAATATAGGCTGATATTAACATTTAATATTTGTTCTTCTTTCTGAACAATTTTACCATGGCTGTGATCTTACAGCTTAAGCTTTGCAATTAACTTCCAGTGCTGGATTTTGAAATGTGCATAACATCCACACAGTATCCCCAGTTTTTTTTTTCTTCTTATGTGCAAAGGTTGTGTTTGGGTCACACTACAACCATGTATAACATGGATTTCACTCTGGAAAAAAAAAAGAAAAACATGGCTGGAAAAATTACCTTTAGCATCACAGCTAAATGTAGAGAGACATATTTTATATATGATAATGTGAAAAGCAGAATTGTTATGTTATCACAATCGACGTCTTTGCACAAAAAGCATCCCCATACCTGCTCAGTCCTCCGATGCAGCAGCCATTCCAAGGTACCTCCTCCACTAATTATTTCCATAGGGAGTTGGTTATAGTATCTCTTTTTTTTTTACCTCAAAGAAGACACAGATGTGCTTCATTAAGATCAACTCTTCAGTCACGCAGTTGTGTTAGAGTCAGAGATTCACTATTATCCCCCAACTTGGTAGTCCATAAAAGCGTTGATGATGTCACTCTATCCCTGTTTCTTCCCATTTGAATTTGTGCATTACTTGTCAGCTGGTCAGCTCTCTCATTACTATTTACTCCTGGGTGCCCAGGTGTGTAAATCCAGATGATGGAGGTTAACTGCGACTTTCAAATGCTTTCTACCCTTTCACAGCGTAGACTACAAGTAGCAGATTTATGAAGCATGTTCACAGAGTCTGAAACAATTACCGCATATGTGCATATGTGACCGCTTGTTCTGCTACCCATGAAAGTGCTTTGGAAGTAGCTGTTATTATATCCATGGTCATGCTTGACATAATTGTCTGGTAAGCTCTGCTATCCTATTTAATTGTTTTCCCCATCCTTTGTGCTGTGTAATAATGATCTTGACAACTAGCTGTTGTTGCAAAATACACATTCCTGACATAGAATTATAGCTCACCATGTTGAAGTTTAGCAATGATCTCCTCTTCAACCTGAACCAGAAACTCATAAATTTTCTGCACAGATTCTACTGGGTTGACAAGAAGTGTGCGGACAATGTTAGAACAGTAGGACTTGTAGCGGACGCCCATTGCACACACAATAGCATCAAACTGTAGATTATTGTCATCGCTGGGGAAGAAATGAAATCAATCAATCAAAATTAAGACACTGATTAAAATATGCAATAGGAACTGTGCCTTCCATGTTATTTACCACATAATGAACAGGTGTTTACTAAAAGTGGCTGAAGCAGTGACAATAAAACAAAACAGTACGACTTGTAGCGGACGCCCATTGCACACACAATGGCATTAACCCTACCAGACCGCTGGCCCAGTTTTCCAGGAATTTCATAACTGTTCTCTATACCGCTGGCCCTAATTTTCGGTTATTTGCATAGTGCGTGAGAAAGATGCGTCACTGACTAAAAATAACCAACCAATCGTCGTCAGTCCGCTTTGTTAGAAATTGCAAATGGCTTCCCCGTGTGTGTGAATCAATTTTGTGTGTTTTAACGTGAAAAAATTCGGAAAATTCAGAATGAAGCGAGCGGATGATAAACCAAGTTCTAGGCTTTTCACAGTCCAACAGGTGATCGATACTTTTGTTTATTCAGACTCTGTGATATATATATATATATATATATATATTCATTATCTGTGAAAATTTCATAAAGAAAACGTTCTTGAAGTGACACTGTCAGTGAAAGCGCGAATGATGAGGAAAATCTTGAAAATTATCAATCTTGAAATAGATTGATAGTAGGAGGAGGGGGTGTGTCCATCAAACGGCAACATCTGGTGTTCACTTTGTGAAACAAAGTTGATCCTGCTGGGTGGATTGGCAAACAAAGGTGGAATATTGGCACTAGATTAAAGGTAAGCCTATTTTCTACAATGTCTCCAAGTTTCATCATATTCTAGCCACTCGTTTGCATGTAACTAATATTTTTGTATATCATGTTGGTTTCTTCGCGGTAATGCCCAGGAGCTCAGGTTATAGGGACAGTTAGGGTCAGGGCCTTAGGTCTGGTAGGGTTAAACTGTAGATTATTGTCATCACTGGCGAAGACATGAAATCAATCAATCAAAATTAAGACACTGTTTAAAATATATTATAGGAACAACATCTTCTGTGTTATTTACAACATAGTGAAAAGGTGTTTACTAAAAGTGGCTGAAACTGTGACAATCAAATAGGTGTCATGGCAAAGTGAGTTATAGAGTACTGTTTCATCAAGTCTGTGCTCTAGTGCATCACATTTCAGAATAATTTCTTTCAGATTTGTAATCTCTGGACTTAAATCATTCTTATTCTAACCTGCAATGCATTATGTTGTTTTCCTAATTGTTATCATCTAAGCTATCCAACTATGGAAACCTTGACAAAATGTACGGTAGTGTCAGTGTAACTATTGATACTTTTTCAGAAAGTGATGTCCAATAAAAGAAATAATGATAACAACACTAAAAAATGGTGCACTACTTCCAACGTGTCAGCTTCTTGGTGAGCATGTCATCAAAGACTTCTACTTAGGAGTTTGTAAAACTGAATGTGTTGGGCCAAAGGATGCAGATATTTAAGCCTAGCTGTAAACCACAACAAAATATGCTGACCACCCTTTTAAAAGCAAACACAGCAGAAGAAAAAGTAAGTCTAAAATCTGAAAGGGTAAAGACTAAATGAAAATAAATCAAATGGCAACTCATCCTGTTGAAGCCTCACTTCAAGAGGTGGAATCCTAAACTTATTTAAACAGCCAGAAATATTTAAAAATTTTTTTTTAAATAACCAAGGTTAAATAGGCAGAAAGAAAAGATTTTCTGAGCTTAAAAAATTAAAAATAAAAACAGTTAAAGATCGATGTTTGATCATTTTTATGAATACAGACTGTACTGTTGAGTGGCTAGGTCAGCAGTTAACTCTTTTAGTACCAGGTTTCAGAGGAGATGCCAAAGTGAAGAAACGACTATGATGAAAGACCAATAATGCATTATTTTGAAAGTGGCAATATGCACAATGGTAATTAACAGTGGGGAAGCCAGATTCCTTTAGTTTCTTTTGACTAAATGTTGTAAATAAGAGAACACAATATGCTATGGAGGAAAATAAAGGGATAGAGTCACCAACACACCAAGCGTTACTTGGGATCAAAAAACTTAAGAACGCTGGGCTTTCATTCAGCAGACCCAGGTTCCAATCTTCGGTAAGGAGATGGATTTGTGTCTGCAAAAATCCTTAATTGCACAGTCCATGGTGACTGCCTTAGCCATGCTGCCCTAAATCATCAGGTACAAGACTTCTCCCCTTCCTACAGCAGCCTTAAAAATGTGGCCTTCTGTGCGTTCCCCGATTATAAACTCAGGCAGAAAAATGCTGGCTGTTCACTTCAGGACTTTAGTTTTGTTCCAGACCTTGAGTTTTGTGTGCACATCCATTTTATAGATCTGGCTTATTTGTATGCAGACTGTAGGTTCCTCGCTTCACAGATAAACTCACTCTGACTTCGAAGGAAAAACTCCAAAGAGTCCAATTTAGGAAAAACCCCAATGAGTCCAATTTAGGGAAAACCCCAATGAGTCAAATTTTATTACATGCTTTTTAGGGTGGCACTGGGTCTATTCCTTCTATCCCCCCCCCCCCCCCCCCCCCACAGAAGGGGTCCAGGAACCCACACAAGGGAAAAGTGGTTAAAACAGATCATAGACTGTATTTAATTCTTCACACGTCGAAGCTGACCTTGTATGTATTGAATTCTTCACATGATGAGACCCACCTTGTTGTACTAAACTTCAGGCTGTATTTTCCTCCACTCTGAATGATAGCTGGGTAACAAACATCAAGTTGGCTGGTATCAACACCTGATGTGTATTTCTTGTTCTGTAAGGCCTGCTCAACACCGTCAGACAGCTTTGAGTGCTTCACTTTCTGAAGAATAGCCAAGTTCACATTGACCGTAAATATCAGTGATACTCATTACCGTCAGAGAGCTTTGAGCGCTTCACTTTCTGAAGAATAGCCAAGTTCACATTGACCGTAAATATCAGTGATGCTCATTACCTTCAGACAGCTTTGAGTGCTTCACTTTCTGAAGAATAGCCAAGTTCACATTGACCGTAAATATCAATGATGCTCATTACCTTCAGACAGCTTTGAGTGCTTCACTTTCTGAAGAATAGCCAAGTTCACATTGACCGTAAATATCAGTGATGCTCATAACCGTCAGACAGCTTTAAGTGCTTCACTTTCTGAAGAATAGCCAAGTTCACAATGACAGTAAACATCGATGACAGCAGTTTTTTCTTCTTCTTTGCGCTCACCAGCTGTAAACTCTGGTGGAAATTCTGGTTGTTCGTCCATGTCTGGACTGCAGTCCTGTTTCAGAACCTGAGTGTTGCGAGCATCCATTTGACAGATCTGACACATTTGTGTGCAGACTGCTGGTTCCTTGCCTCTCAGGCAGATGCACTCCGACTTCTAAGGAAGCTCCCAATTATTTGACTCTTACGACATGCTTTTGGGTAGGCAGTGGGTCTATTCTTGTTTTCCCTATAACAGGGCCCCGGAACCCACACTGGAGTGATGGAAGTTTAATTCTTACTAACTTCATTTTAGCATTACTGAGGGCAGTTGAATTCATTAACTCTGGCAAACTTCACTAACACCAGAAATTAATAGCTGGGAAACCTCTGAGTCCATGTGAACAATATGACTCACAAACTGAGCATGCATTATAAATAGTAGTAGTAGTAGTAGTACATTTTACCCCACCAGGACATCACACAAGGGATAAACACCCGATGACACATAGTGCCACCATGCGGATGAGGATCAACCGTGGAGAGGTACCATAAATCCCTTTCAGCCGTTATGGCCACAAATGTGGCCGAGCTATATTCAGGGCCCCCGGCAAAAGCAAGGGTGGGGCTTCGAAAAATGAAAAATTGCATCCCACAAGGGGACAACTTGAATGATTTTAGGCGACTAATATTATAAATAGTAATAATGAGGGAGGTCAAGAACAGACCAGGAATACTGGTTAGAGGTTATAATATAAACAATCTTCGTTATGCAGATGATACAGTATTAATAGCTGAAAACACAGAAGACCTACAACAACTATTAGACATTGTGTTACTAGAGAGTACAAAAAGGGACTTAGCTTGAATGTCAAGAAAACAGAAGCGATGGTTATATCAAAGATAAAGATAACTCCAAAATGTGACATAGAAATGGAAGGGAAAGAGCTTAACTAAGTCAATAAATTAAAGTATTTGGAGACATTCATAACACCAGATGGATGATGTGTGACAGAAATTAAAAGCAGAGTTGGCCAGGCAAAGGCAGCATTTCAGAAGATGAAAAGTATCTTATGTAATGAATTACTCTTGGAATATCTCACGAAGTCAGGCCCAGAAAGAGAGTGACTTCCCTTGGGAGGTCCCAGAATGACTCCTGTTCTATATTGCGGGAGTGGCCACGCTTAGTGTGCGTACAGCTATATTCATGGTACACCGTTGTCAAAGGCTGCATGCAGTCGTGGGGCGTAAATAAATAAAACCTCGTGGGACGTCCCACTGTGGGGGCTGCTAGTGGGGTGGGTTTTAGGTGACTTAAAAGTGCTTAAATCGTGGAATATAGAACCCACGATATCGCCAGCCGGTGACAACAACACGTACTATTCATTCTGTTGCTAGACGCTCACTAAGCGTGACACCCCAGCAACATAGGAGAGGCCCTACGACACGACAAAGGATGAATGGCAAAGGAAGTCACTCTCTTTCTAGGCCTGACTTCGTGAGTTCTTCCTCACTCTCAATAAACGAGTATTGAAATGTTATATCGAGCCTGTTCTGTTGTATGGTAGTGAATCTTGGAATGTGAGCAAATTAAGAAGAGTTTGGAGGAAAATGTGTTGTTTTCTTGAGAAGAATCTTGCGAATACCTCTGGTCTGCCAGAATAACTAACAATGATTACCTGTAAATGGCTAATGAAAGTAGAATATTATATACAATAATGAGAAGGAGACAAAGTCTTTGGTCATGTGATGAGAAAATGAGCACTGGAAAATATTGTGACGACTGGAAAGATCACTGGTAGAAGAGGCAGAGGCAGACCAAGATAAATGATGGTGGATGGCTTTGGACAGTGGCATGGAGGCATATCATCAGTGGAATTGATCCAGAATAGCAAAGACCAAGATCTGATGATAATGTAAATAAATGTTAAAAATGTGATTATCCCAAATTCATCAATGGCAGTTGTTAAACTCATTAATTGTGGTTAACATGACTGAGAGCAGTTAAACTCACTAACTCAAATAAACATCAATAAAAGTAGGTTAAATGCACTAACTCTAATAAACATCAGTGATGATAGTTTAACTCACTAACTCAGGTAAACAGCAATGATGGCAGTTTAACTTTCCAACTGTAATACAAATCTCTGATGGCAATTTAACTCACTAATTCTGAAATGCATCAGTGATGACTGTTAAACTCATTAACTTTGATCAACATAATTGGCGACTAATATTATAAATACTAATAATGAGGGAGGTCAAGGACAGACCAGGAATACTGGTTAGAGGTTATAATATAAACAATCTTGGTTATGCAGGTGACACAGTATTAACAGCTGAAAACACAGAAGACCTACAAAAACTATAAGACATTGTAGTACTAGAGAGTACAAAAATGGACTTTCCTTGAATGTCAAGAAAACAGAAGCAATGGTTATATCAAAGAAAAAGGTAACTTCAAAATGTGACATAGCAATAGAAGGGAAAGTAGTTAAATGTACATTAGCACTAACAAGGCTCACCGGTGGCAGTGTAACTCACTATCTGATGTCAGCAACTCCACTGGGAGTTGAAAAACAGATGAGGACTCACAAAGCAAATGTTCCTATCAAAGCTACTTGTCATTTCCCTTCTGGTTACCCTATCTGCATCATCCCTGATAACTGTCAAACTCATTAATTCTGATTAACATTACAGATGGCTGTTAAACTCATAAACCCTGATTCTTCTTCTTCTTCTTCACTTTCACCAGCTGTAAACTCCAGCAGAAATGCGCATCCGTTTGACAAATTTGAATCATTTGTATGCAGACTTTTGGTTCCTTGCCTCTCAGGTAAAAGCTCCCAGTCAGTTGACTCTTATGACAAGCTTTTGGGTAGTCAGTGGGATCTATTCTCGTTTTCCCTATAATAGGGCCCCGGAACCCACACGGGGATTTTAACCCTGATTAACATCACTGATGCCTTTTAAACTCATTCCTCTGTCTTCTTCTTCTCTTTCCCCTTGTACCTCATTAAAGTGTCAGAGGGAGATGTAACATTCGTTGATGAGCTCTGTCAAAAAGCACTATTAAGACTGATGTTCATTTCTGTAAGGCTGTTCTTAATGCCATCACTCCATCTTTTCCTAGGTCTTCCACACGCTCTATACCCGTAGTAACGTGTTAGTGTGGCTCTCTGTGGCAGATAGTACCAGGCCATTCTTGTTTAACTCTTTAACTTTAATAAACCTCAGCAGTGGCACTTTAACTCACTATCTCATGTTAGTAACACCACTGGGAGTTGAAAGACAGAAGAGGACTCACAAAGCAAAGTTCTTATAACATCAAAGCTACTATTGTTATCTCTTCTGGTTACCTTATCTGCATCAATAATCTCCATAATCTGCTCCTTGAGGTATTTACTGAAGACATCACACGTCACCTGACATGCCTTTTGTATGGTCTTCACTTCCGCTTCTTCCTTGGGGGCCATAATGTAGGCAAACTGAGAGGAAACATCCACCTGCACAGAAGAGGGGAAAATGATGGTTAAAAAAATGCAATAGTTCCCCTATCTGTTGATGGCAGCCATTGTGGTGTAGTGGCAAGACACTTGCCTCAGGCCTCAAGGTCATGGGTTCAAATGTGCATCAAGCCAGATATTTTCAAAAATGATCTTCGTTTCTAGGCCCACCCAGTCTAACTGGGTGCCAGGTAAAGTCCTGGGAAGTAAAAGCGGCCAACATGATGCTGACATCTATCACTCACCAAGTGCCCAGTGGACTATACAAAATTTAGCTCTATATATGAGTTACTGGGGCCTATTAAAAACATTAGAGAATAATAACAGTGTAACTTACAATGCATGTTCTAAGAAGCATCTCACGATAGTTGCTGAGAGACTAGCTGCATCATTATGTAAAAAACTCACAGCATTTTCCCGTAAAAAAGATGATGCAAGTTTAAAACTGGAAATCGTCTTACACATGAAATGTGTTTAAAATACTTGGTTCTTAATTTTGGGCTTTAAAAAAATGGGGGCGTCTTTTACATGAGGCTGTCTTAAAGATGGAAAAATAGGTTGAGTTGCAATATTCAGCCAACAATGAACAAGTATAGAAGCACTTGGTATGCTTTGGTTGATGGCCTATGTTCCATTATAACTCTTTCAGTCCAAGATGGTTTAAGAAGCAAAAGGAGTAGTGAAGAGAGATTTAAAATCGATGCATCTTAAGTTCATTGGGCTTCTAGGTGGGAACCTATGAATGTATGATGCAATCCTTGGAGCTGAAAGAGGTCAGATATAAGGTAGAAGGTGAAGGAAGCTGATTTTATACTTCTAAATATAATGATAACTTAACCACTTGTGACATCAAATAACTTTTAAAAAAGCTAAGCGTTTTGCTACATTATGATGTTAGCAAGATCACTGTTTATCTCCACCACTACTGGTCCCAAGCCTGGGTGAGAAAGCAGGAGAGTTGATCAAGCATGGGAGCCAGTTTCCTCACCACATAATTATTAATTTGCCACAGAAACTCACAGGAAAGAAGGTGGCATTATACTGGACAAATCCTGAGAAGAAGTGAGCAGAGAATTACCAAAGAGGAATTGAGATGGGGAAACAAATGGACTGAGGAAATGAGGACCTCCAAGACTTAAAATGAATTTTACTGAGAAAAGCCAAATGTTCGGAACCTGATTCCATCCAAGTTATTGACAGGAATGCAAGATACAGATCAGAATGGAGGACCATACTGTAAGCGATATATGAAGTATACCGGTATGACAGGATGACCATGATAATAATGAAGCTCCTTTTCGCTGGCCTTTCTTTCCGCTACTGGAATGAAAGTCTGGTAACTTTTTCATTGCATGATACATCAAAGACATACTATTAGTTAGTTCACAGTTGGCATCTTTCTGACTTTCCAGATAGCGTTATAGGAAATCAGAGGAACCACAGTAATGGCAAGTTTGACTAGCAAGACCAGGTTTTCTTAAACACAAAGCCTCGGCAGTATTGTACAAACCCTGTTTTGTTCATGCAGCATGATCCCTCTCTCTGCCTAAATTGTTAACTCCAAAGAAAAGGTAACATCAAAACGTTTGGATATAGCAGAATCAACAAACACTGTAACTAAACAACTAATGACAACTAACTTTGCCAAAGCCTGCAGATTTCACAGCATGTCGCCATCCTTCTATTAGCTCTCCAGGATAACTGTCTTTGCTGAACTCTCCAACTGTTTTGCCCTGTAGGTGCACAAGAGATGCTACTTTTAATAGATGCTGCTTGTAATTACATTTATGTACCTCAGAGATGAACCAATGAACCAAAGGATCAGGATGTGGAGGGCTCGGGCATATCTCAAAATATGTGCTGATAAGAAACACCCACTGCATCAAGCGCTTTTTAGTGAAAAGGGCGACAGACTGAAGAGGGGGAAATCGTGGCTAGGTCGGGCAGAAGATGTTATTAGGCAAATATGCAGCCTAACCGACATCATACCTGGTGCAGAATGGATACCTGTGCCTCAGGCGTTTATTTGTACATTTTCCTGTATTGTCACACTCAACAGGCGATGTAGAGAAGAGAATCCTGTTGCTGTTAATGCAGAGGTCAACGCACTCATCGGTGAAAATTCAGACGAAGCAGATGCAATAATCTATACAGACGGATCCGTTATACGCCAAAGAAGAAGCGCATGGGCATTTACAGCACGCTCAGCGGGCAGAACAGTCAAAGAAGCCAACGGCGCCTTTTCCATGACAACCAGCAGCATGACGATGGAGGTGATGGCAGTGACACAAGCGCTTGCCTGGCTTGAAACACAAAAATACACCCGCGTGTGTATACTCAGTGATTCAATGAGTATGATCCGGAGGGTTCAGGCAGGTTCAGTGCGAAGACAATGGCTTGAATCATTACAGAAGTCCACTGTCCGTGGAGTCACCTTTATTTTTGTTCCGGGACACGCAGGCGTCGATGGAAATGAAAGAGCTGACAGGTTGGCTGGATCCGCTATCACTACCGACGGTCAGCCTATGGATCATGCTGATATTATCAATGCCCTCAGAGAAATGGGAAGGATAGACGACTTTGGTGGCAGTGAATCCACATCACTCGCCAGAATGGCAGACTTGGGAATTAAGATCGGCACAGCAAAAAACGAGACGCACACCAGCTACGCCAGAAGACTTGTTAATCAACATAGAACTGGTACTATTAGCCATCGGACGTTGGGGTTCATACTGAGGGGAGGATCTGAGCACCTATGGACATGTCCGGAGTGCAATGAGGATAACCCAACTAACTAATTAACTAACTAACTAACTAACTAACCTCAGAGATGATAAGTCACTTGCAGACGGAGTGGCTTAGATGTGCTCGCCTCTGAAGGGAGATAATATATAACTAAGTTTAACAAAGGGGAGTGGCTGGTCAAGTGGTCAGAGTGGGGCTATCATGTGGGAGACCTGGGTGGAGATTTTTTTCTGTAAATAAAAATCCTTAACTGCAGTTTGTGGCGACTGCACCAGCCATGCAGCCTTAAATCCTTAGGCTCACAACCCCCTGTCCTAACCCACCAATTGGTAAATACAGAAAGTAAAGACAGTTTTTGTAAGGAAAAAGAAAAAAACGTGTGGGGGGGGGGGGGGGGGAACGACGACACAGAATCAAGCTGCAGATTTTCAACAACAACAACAAAAAACAAACAAAAAAGAAATTAAGAAACTCCAGAATCTGAAACTCCCACTTAGGGGGGTTCAGGTCCAGCCAGAACCAGACTTTGTCAAAAATGACTTTGGCTCCCAGGGCGATCCTGCCTTAAAAGGGTACCAGGTAAAGTCCTGGGAAGTAAAGGTGGCCGGTGTAATGCTGACTAGATCACCCTCTGAGTGCCAATTGGTCTACAAAAAAAAAACACTAGGTCTAGCCTTATATTTCCAATTATACTTGCAGACATGGAAAAGCGTCCTTTACTTTTTTTATTTATCAAGGAGGTAATGATATTTGATGTATGGAATTCTCAAGTAAGAACAGACATTTAAGAATAACAGTATCATCTGAGTAGGGTAACCAACTCCTCTCCTCACCACCTTTGCTACACAGAGATATATTTGGGTCACAGTCATCCAGAAGTATCTCATGTACACAGCACCTGCAGTATCTCTCACACTAAGAAGAATCTCCTGGATTGTGACGAAATGACCTCAGTGGTCTCAGAAGTTATATTGAGTTTAATCATTTCTTATGTTCAGAGAAGGACAAAGAATTATAAGCAATAGACACTGAGCCTAAAATAGTTCTAAAACCACTACAAGGGATTTGAGAATTGTTTAAACTGCCTTTCCAATCTCTAGCCAGACAAAGCAACCTTGCTTTAAGTAATATTACCTTGGCTAGGAATTCCTTTCTCATGCCCATGTCATTATATTATCTCCTGCCCAGTCTGTAGAGGCGAGTAAAGGGGGAGATAACTTCGTATCACACCTGAGGTTGGCTCCCCTGAATCCGACCGTAGGGGCATAAAAATTACATAACACACACTGAGTGGGGCCGTTTGATCAAACTGAAGCAGGGGAATTAGTGGTCTGATAGACATTTCTAGACAGGATGGCGTCCAGTGTCTGAAGTTTTCACACATGATAGTGAAATTCTCAAGAGAACAGATGTTTGGCAATTAGGAATGTTTAATCTTGGTCAAGGTCGTACTGTAGGCCGTTCACTGTGAGTGACAGGCCCATTGATAGCTAGGTTGATCTGCTAGGTACCTCAGAGGCGGGGCTTTGGTCATCTCCTTGAGGGTTGGGTAGAACCTAGTAGAGGGTGGAGTTTACCCTTGCAGACAGATAGAGGTATTAATAAGACAAGCCCTGGAATTTCTGTCATAATCGCTGCCACAGGCAATAAACAGGTCGACCTTAGAGGTAATTCTAATGGTTTGATTCTAGTTTGGCGATTGCTGGAAGTTTCCAGGTAAGCATGTACAATTATTTTCAATCTTGTATACATAGGTTAGGGAGTTAGCTAAAATCTATTCTACCTTTTCCTAATTTGTCTACACATTCTGCTTGAAATAGTTCTATGTGAGTATTCAGTATCTCAGTTAGGGAACTGCTAAACCATTTCTATTTCTTGTATGTTTGTGGCACATGTTTTTCAGTGTATGTTTTCATGTTTATGAAATAAGACTTGTATACTGAAATGTAATGAAATTATAATGTTTCAACCATCAACCAAAACATAGGGTTGGACTGTGGGGAATGATGCCCACATATGCAGCCATGCTGTTACATTTTGTGTGCCCACCATGTGCTCACCTAATGTGTTCACCTAAACAGGGGATTTATAACCCCAGGGGAAGAATCATGAGTGTATATTATTCACTGTCACTGAAAGATAATATTCAGGACAGCATGCACATATAAAATCTTTTGCGTGTTCAGCACACAACCTGCACCACATGTTTATGTCAAATCAACGTCAGCAAGTTGGAAGTCTGAATGATGACGGACAACAGAAAGTCAACTATCATGACAGAACCTTAGAGGGAAGGCAGGATATGTAAGACGTCGGTGTGAGACACAAAGACCTTCAGATTAGACTGGAGAGAATGTGGAGTGTGAGGAGTGATGGGATATAATGTATTATTGTATATTGTATTAATTAACACATGTATTCTTAGTGTAAGTCAAGATACTACACGTATGTGTTTGTTTCCATTATTACAGCTCCCATGTGGGTGAGGATCAGTCTTTTCTAAGAACAGAAATATAGGGTCATCACGGTCACGAGACTACATTGTGCTAGAACTCGGCCAGCTGGGAAACAGGTGGGAACCAGGGAACCAGGTGGAAGGACCAGGAGAACTGGGCAGAAAGATTGGAACAGCTAAGAAGGGACTCAACACGAGGACTCTCAGAGGTTCCACTTTCTAAAAAGTTATGTAACAAGTATTTATGTAACTAAACACCACCATTATCATTTACTCTTATCTTAGGGGCTCAGTTATCAAGCTGAAGTATCCCATTACCACCATACCATCACTATTGACTAAAAATATAAAGAACTAAAATGATTGCTAGGATAATAAATCAAGTATATGGTCTTATCCTGCATCAGTTTTTATAATTCCAAGTGTGTCTGTTCTTACATGTTTAATTAAACTGTTAAGATAGAATAGCATTTGGTTCATTAAATAATAATAATTCTGTACCAAGAGAAGGTCGACGGATTGGGTCAACTGCCCTGTCTAGTAAATAATTCAAGATAATAATATATAGACATCTAAAACCCATTTCCTTCTCTTGTGGGTACCAAGTTCAGCTAAAGTTAATATAAATAACGAGCCAATATGGCTGTTTTCTTGGATATCCAGGACTTTGTCTGAGAGCAACATAGCCCGGATAATAGTTCAGTTAATCTGGTGGGGGGGATGTGTTGAGAGGAAAATCCCTACTCAACATATAAATCATTTAAACCCAAATCCAGAGAACCCACGACCCGGGACGTCACACCAAAAGTGTTGTAATTTCCAAGGGAGTGGGCCGTAACAGAACATGGATCCATCACGAGGAGGAATCTCTAGGATGCACAGTACAAACCTGGATCAATCTCAAATGTTTCAATGGCATGTACTATTACTGAGAGCCACAGTAATGTAGTGGCTCCTCTGACAGCTTGAAGGTATTGGGTTTAAATCCGTACCAGGTGAATTGGATGTCTAAAAAAAATTATCATGGCTTTCAGGTCAACAAAGCCTATGTACTGGCTAATGTCCTGGGAAGCGTGGTGATGACCACATCAACCATCAAAGTTTGATGGGCTATAAAATATTACAAGTCTAGCAGTATATGCCTATGCAAAATTTTCTGAAAAGGGTCCTTTATATTATTATGCACCATTACTGGTGTATATTTTTTGGGTCCTGGTCCGGGATAGTTAGCATCCTTTGGATATTTTCTCCAGGTCATGCCGGTGTCTTGGGAATTGAGCAGGCAGATAGATTGGCGGTTCTGCACCACTTGGTGGTGAACGTGTATGACAAGCTAGATATTATGAGGGCCCTTCGGGAACGAGTGAACAGTGCGGATGCGCAGATAGATCATTATGGTCTGAGAAGAATGGCGCTGCGAGGAGTTACCAGGTGATGTGGCCGACGCTCAACTCTCAGGGAAAGGATGAGAGAGATATACAATCAGACGGCTACTGGTACCATCGGAATTGGAACTCTTCGCTTGCTGCTGAAGATGGGGGACAGAGCACGTATGGGAGTGATCCAAGTGCTGTGATGTCGATTCTTAATTCAACATTCTGGGTTGAGAAATAAAGAACTGCTTGCCCTAACAGTCACCACACTGTGTATTGGCTAGTATTTTTTTTTTTAATTCCAAAGTATTACTACGGATCAAATGCCAATATATGAAACAGATATTCTGACCACTTTACCATCCTCACTTTTAAACTACTGTAAATTGTATAAAAACTACAAATAAATTGTAAAAAACAGAAAGGGGTGCCAGGGGCAGCATGAAAACAATTCAAGAGCACAAATCACAAGCGCAAAATGGACAGCAAGGCTAGAAAGCGTTCATCAGCACACATAAATAAATGACACTGATGCAGCTGCATTCAAACTTCATAGGGGCTGGCTGAGGAGTTAAGAACACTGGGGTTTTATTTGGGAGCCCAGCATCAAATCTTCAGTAAGGGGATGGATTTTTTTCTGTTGGGGACAACAACAAAAAACCCTAACCTGTATAGTCCATAGTGACTGCACTAGCCTTGAGCTCTAAGTCATCAGGCTCAGAATTCCCCTGTCCCACACTCACAAAATATGGTACAGGCAGTAAAGATAATTAGTTAAGACAGTTTATGGTAGCTTATAAAATGTATTAGCGTCTTCAGGTTTTCAAATTTTTTTCCATACTAGCTGATAGTGTTTTTCGATTGTAGAAATTTACAGTTTTCTTTAAATAACAATTTTCAGCAATGGATTTTGACTGTATGCTTCTATTTCAAACTGTCAGTATCTTGTTACCCCAATATTCTTGTTAAACATACTAAAAGGAAATTATAAAGTGATACATTTTCTGCAGGTGACTGGAACAAAAAAAGAAACAAAAATAAAGACAGGTAAAGAAAAAAGGAAAGAAAGAAAGAAAGAAAGAAAGAAAGAAAGAAAGAAAGAAAGAAAGAAAGAAAGAAAGAAAGAAAGAAAGAAAGAAAGAAAGAAAGAAAGAAAGAAAGAAAGAAAGAAAGAAAGAAAGAAAGAAAGAAAGAAAGAAAGAAAGAAAGAAAGAAAGAAAGAAAGAAAGAAAGAAAGAAAGAAAGAAAGAGAAAAAGAGTGTGAGTGAGAGATAAAGAGACAGAGAAGGCTTATTATAAATTTGTTTAAACAAGGATCTTTACACAAATCTTTGAACCCATCCAAGATGCAAACCAAGGGGCAGAGAGTGTGAGAAGTAACAATAACATTCATAATCTGACAGAAAGAAAGAATCTACATTTTCATTCGTCCAAACCTTTTTACTTTTCTTTATGCACTCTATCAGTTTCTGAAAGTTGGCCTTGTCCTTCTCCTTGTCACCCTGAAAATTACAACAATGTTACCCAATGAATCCACAAAAATGATGGCACCATGCTATACACCAGGGCTATTCAACTGGTGGCCTGCAGGCCAAATCTGGCCCATGCAGGCCTAAAAAGTGGCCCGCGGATCTTTGCCAGTTGTATTAATGATTTTTCTACACTGGGGCTCCCGAGCCTCTAGAATGTGACAATACCTTTTTTCAAAATTTGGTCCATGAGTAAACTTAGTTGAATAGTCCTGCCGTACACACTTCATATTTTCTAGACTAACAGTTCTCTGGTGTAAATGGAGGAACCTCACTGTAGCTACGGAGTTACATGTGTGACAGTGACACAGGCGGAGTTTCCTATCAGCTGTTTGTACTGGTAGCAGAGAACTTATGGTTTATAACCATGTAAAATGACGCTGGTTTACATCTCCCGACTTTACCTTTTTACCTTCTAGACAGTACCTTCTAACAGTAACTCTATGAGCATATGATCAGTGCTAATCCTACAACAAGGAAACTAAGTCCCATTATGTAAAGGTCAAACACCACCAAAGTAAGGGTCCCTTTACACGCTAGACTCATTTTCTTTCTAGACCAACTGGCCCTGCATGTGTGATGTGGTCAACATCATGCCAGCCGCCTTTACTTCCTAGGACTTTACCTGATACCCAGTTTAGGTTGGGTCGACCTGGGAGCCAAGATTGTGTTTGGAAAAAATCTGGCTTAATGAGGATTTGAACCCTTGACCTTTGGATTCGCAGGCGAACGTCTAGCCGCTACACCACGGAGGTTCTAAACTCTAAAAAAGCCATGTTAAAAAATATTTCAATAAAAAATAAGATTTTATTTTCCATGCTTTCAGACATAAGTCGCAAATGAGGAACTTAACATAATGATATTTATGGACCAATCAATGCTCGATGGGTGATGTGGTCAGAATCACACTGATGGCTTTACTTCTCATGATCTCAGTATGGGTTCCAACACCCAGTTTCAGAGGAAACAGAACAGACCCGCCGCCCCCTTGCTAAGCATGTTGTACAAGGCATCTAATTATGAACGTTTCCTTCAAAAGAGTGCCTCTGTCTGAGAGGCATTGAACCAAGACTGCATACAAATAAGCCAGATCTGTAAAACAGATGTGCATAAAAACTCCAGGTCTGAAACAAGACTAAAGTCCAGAAGTGGACGAACAACCAGAACTTTCCGCCTAAGTTTACAGCCGGCAAAGAAGAAGAAGAAGAAGGACTTCCCATGTCATTTCCTGACTGGGCGGCTCACTACGCTCAGAAGAAAGGCAAGACGGACATATAACCAGATTGTGACCAGTACCATCAGTATTGGAACTCTGCGCTGGTCAAAGATAAGGACGGAGCACACATGGGATTGCACCGAATGCTGTGATGTCAATTTTTGACTCCAGTCAAATCAACTGACCTAAAAATTACATCACAATTTAAAAACAAAATAGCTATACCTACCATGTGTACACACTGTGCAGCTACAGACAGCACCAAATCTGTGATATAGGCATAGTGGCACTGACCAAAAACTTCATGTCACCAAAAACCCATAAATGTTGGGAATACATTTTTCTCAGTGCGACAGGATTAATTCAAGACGACTGGTGCAACAGACTAGTGCCCACCTGATACACTAGCGCGTCCGTGGCTTAGGCGTTACAAGTCCGACTCGTAATCCAACATACCACAATCAAAACCCACTGCTGGCTGCGTGGATTTTTATCAGGGTATGGGGCGTCGCAGGTCGACCTAGCCTAAAATGGGTACCAGGATGGCTGTCCTGGGGAACTCAAGACTGCCGACGTAATGCTGACCACATTACCCACCTAGTGCTGATTGGTCAGTAAAAATATGGGTGCTCTTCCCATATTCCCGCTGCGCCTAAGGCGTGAAAAGGGATCTTCACTTTTGTAACTTACTTTGATACAGTAGCACAGTCCCTAGTTCACTTTCTTACATGCCCATTTTATCTTTATCAATAATCTAACTTCTTCTTCTTCAGTTTGCCTGAAATAGATTACATGTATCTTCAATGCTGTCTCTAGTATCTAGACTCTAACTGATGCTAAAGCACAAACCTTCTCCCTAGTTATCAACTTTAGTGGGGGTATTCCTTGCTCATTATCCTTGGATGTATCCAACAGCTTTAGAAAGTCAATCTTCTTCTTGCTTGCCAAGATACAAATAACCTTCTCACAAAGAATCATGATGGTGTCTGTCAGCTCGTACCCAAACAGCCATGTCTGTGGAGAAATATCCAGTTATAAATTACAATAGTTCAAAAAACAATAAACTAGTCTAGAAGGATGTGGTATGCTTCGAAGGATAGCCTACATTTCATTTTAAGTTACAAGGCAGAAGGTGAAGGAAGTTGATATTATACTTGTAATACAACAAAAACCCCATGGCTTGTGACATCAAATAACTGTCAAAAAAGATATGGCTTTCGCTTCTTTATGAAAGGTGACTGACTGGATACACACACCAGATTTTCTTCTCAAGACTCGCTTCATCAATTCTCGAGAGAGGGACAGTGTGTTACACAGTATTAGGACTAAGAACAGGGCACAACAAACTTCTTCAACATATGTTCAATTTTTTCGGCCTAGAGTTGACTAATTGCCTGGCTTCTTTCAAAGTTGGCGTGCCTCTGCCTGAGAGGCAAGGAGCAAACAATATGCATACAATTAAGTCAGATCTGTTAAACGGATGTGCACCCAACACTCTGGTTCTTGAACAAGACTAAAGTCCAGAGGTGGACAAACAACCAGAACTTTCCGCAGGAGTTTACAGCCAGTGAACATGAAGAAGAAGAAGAAGAAATGTTAACATTTGCCAGTGCAAGTTGGAGAACCACTAAAGACTTGGAATGCAAGTTAAATGCATTAAAAAACAAATGCCTCAGGAATCTGAGGAACTATAATAATTTAAGCAGTAATGTTTACCTATTATTCCTTATTTATTTCTGCCCTTTATCTGCCAGTGGGGCAAAACACCCTCAACCAACCCATGTCAAATGGCCCCGACAAACAATATAGAATGTACAGAATAAGCAAACAGTTAGATAGTTGCGTATCCTTTACAAGGCGCTGCAGAACCAACCCCAGCGTTTTTTTACCATTGTGGTTTTTCTAATCAAAATTTACTAACAGTAGCTTGTCACTGCTTTCTGAGCGGTCTGCTCTGGGCACCACTGTCGAAACCAACGCAAGACAAATCATCCGCAGCTGGGATCAAACCTAGCATCCCAGTATTGAAAAGCAAATTCGCAACACCTAAGCCACAGTCACCTACAAGCAAACAGTACCAAATAAATATGTCAAAGTGCAGAAAGGTGTATGCCTAGGGGTAGGCAATTGGCAGGTACCTGTGTGAGATCGCCATATTCTAAATGGTGTGCACTTGTGTAGCCTCTCCCACACACTCAGCCTGCACCATGATTTCTCTATTTGTTGAAGACCTGAACTATCAATTAATGAGCTCTTTTTGACTGCTCCATAGATAATATACCCAAAAGATTGCACAGCTGTAGTTACTATTTCACAGCACAGTCGAAAAACTAATTAAGAACGGAAGTGTCATTGCTACACAGAGTAGATCTACTTTAACACATTTATTTGTTAGATCTACAAGAGCACTGAATACTTCGACATCTTCCTCTTTAATGCTTACAGAAAAATTACATCTGCAATTTTTACCAAAATTTCAATGTTATGATCGCATCACTGGATCTCCAGTTTGGAACTGACTACCAACTAAGTTCTCATCTTTGCTCAATCGTTTCTTTGGCCTGGGGTATTCCCAGCTATCATTGCCTGGGCTGTCTGCCTGGTTTGTGAAGACACTGAATGTCAACTTCAAACAGGGTTATGACAGTATACAAACAGTTAAAGTAAAAGTTCAGATTAACTGATCAATTTAACAATTAAAAACAAGTAAAATAAAGTAAACTGTAAATCACTGTCATGTGCCCCATCAAGAAACATAGTTAAAAAACAAAAAAAGTGTATACCCTCTAGAATTTATAGCAAAAGATTTCCACTCGATGGATAAAACAGAAACTACCCGGATGAGAATCCAACAGTGGAAAATCCCAGAAACATCTTTTACCTGGACACACAGTTATATCTGGACAACAGACAGTTGCGAAGTAATCTGTAATGTGTTTTATAATGGTGTATAGAGAAGTTGGAAAAAAAAAAGTTTCATAACTGTTTGAAACACAATGAGTTATAGACATAAAAGCAGAATAGATCAAACGTCCACTAAAATATAAAGAGCAGAAAGAAATCATGTCTACAAGCAGGACATGACAATCAAAAATAATAATTTTAAAAAGGGAAAAAAACAATGCCTTAACCTGTAATGCGGTTGATTTGGAATAGATGACATCCTCATCAACACCAACCGCTGTAATAAGAGCATCCATTTTAGCAAGCCCATCATCTCCGCTGGATTTCTGTGAAAAGTTATCAAATAGTAAGTAAAAAGTTGAGAAAAGGATCCCTTTCATGCAACTGGCATATTGTGCTAGACCCACAATTTTATAGACCAACTGGCACTTGACGAGTGATCTGGTCAACATCATGGCCAGTCATCTTTACTTCCCATAACATTTTCTAGTACCTCTTTTAAAAGGATGCCTTCTTTTCTTCTTCTCTTCCACCTTGTGCCTCAGTGAAGTGTCGGAGGAAGATGTAACCCTCGCTGATGAGCTCTGTCAAGAGCACTATTAAGATTGATGTTCATTTCTGTAAAGCTGTTCTTTATGCCATCAGTCCATCTTTTCCTAGGTCTTCCCCCTCGCTCTATATCCGCTGTAACATTTCGGTGTGGCTCTCGGCTCTCCTCTGAATAATGGTCCAAAACTATCGAGGCTGAAAATATAAAAAATTGTGGACCTCTTCCGGCGACTAAACAGCATACCGGAGAGAGTAATTCCCGCGCCGCTACGGGCGGCATGGAGTGGGGCTAAAACAGATGGTTGGGACTCACGAGCAAATAAAATGAAGGATACTGCAGGAGTTGCGGTAGCTGCTGATCGGTTACTTCAACTCGGTGGAAGCTTTTCCACAGTATGCTGTGTAGTCACCAGAAGAGGTCCGAAATTTACACGTCACTGAGGCCCTGTTAGGGTATATTTTCAGCTTCAATAATTTGGGACCGTTATTCGGAGGATAGCCTGGCTCTCTGTGGGAGATAGTACCAGGGCATCTTTGCTGGGTGTCCAAACCGCTTCACTTGTTGTTCCTTGATGACCTGTAGGACTGGTTATATTAAAAGGATGCCAACCTGAGTAAGTGGGTAAATTATAACAATATGTCTCAATACGGATTAAAACCCTTGAATTTCAGGCTGTCCAGTTCCGGTGCTACTGTGATTCTGCAAATAAAAGGTTCCATCAAATTTTAGGTGAATAAGTCTGTTGATAAGTTATGAACCCTACTGAAGAAGAGTTTTAGCTCTATGTGTAATACAAAGGCATTCCGGTTACCTAAGCCCTGAAAAGGGTTTGCATGTATGGGAATATGAGTGGAGTAAGATTTGTCTGCCATTCATGCAGGCAATCATTGACAAGACAGCAAGCTGGCAATATATTTAATTCTCATTTGTGCAATGGTGAGAAACAATTAATGCACCCTAAAAAATACACATACGCAATAGGCATACAAACGAATGCAGTGCCGCTGAGTTTCACATTATCAGATCCATCCAGACCACTCTCCTCCTCCCCCAAACCCCCTTTTAAATATTATTTTTGAAAATTTGAGCTATTTCTTTGAAATATAACTGTGTAAGATAATAAATTCTTCTTCTTAAAGTCCATGCTATGTGACGTTGGTTGTCATGCCTATCCACAACCTTCTGTCTCATGTACTTTCAATCAACTCACACAGATGATCCTCCCTGCCATGATGTCATACCTTCCAGCATCTTCTCTCACGGTCTCTAGATAATAACTAGGGAAGCACAAAGTTGAAAAAATAACCGGATCGTTACAAAAAGCATTAGCTTTTTCAGTCCCAATCAAGACATGGTCTGTTACTGGCTTATATCTGTGTGTCACAAATGTCAGTTAATGTGTTCTCTAACCTTCTAGATTTGGTCAAATCTCGCTTTCACTTCAACTGTGTTTGAAAGTCATGCACTTGTGATTTTTGTGCAGTGATTATTTCCAATATTTAGTGCCAGCTGTGATTACCTCCCAATACTGATAGAGCATGAAGGAGTATCAGGAAGTCTGAGACAACAGGAAATAGTAAGCATTCATGGCTGAGTGCCTATGCTCTACTGCAGAAAAAAATAAACATATGATATGGCCGTCTACCATAAACCTATGTTCTCAGATATAAGTTGGACATGGTATATTCACGTACTGATGTATATACTTCAACAACAAAAAAGTGCAAAATATTGTAATGTATTATTTAACCACAGCATGTATAATTGTAAAATATGGCAACATAAAAGGATAAATACTTCATAAACATTCCCCATGTACCAAAATTTCAACAATCGCAACATCGATCGTGCAGTGAGGACAAGCATCAGATTCAGTCGCAATACGCAATACTGCAATATGGATTATTTTAGAGCCTAATTTACCAATATTTAACCGTTTGGTATCGCAAGCATATCAGTAGTAATTTTGGTGTGCAAATGATTATAGTATTAAATTAACGCAACATTTTCTCAAATTGTAGAATAAATATTACTGAGTTTAAGTGTGAAACAATCGAACTGCAGCAGTCCACATATCGACATACATCGCTGAAGTGTTTGTTACCACTGATGTTCCCAGCCGACTCCGCTGTTTAAAAAAAAAGCACCACATTAAAGTCTAAATTCCAAAATTATGATATCAATATATGAACTAGAAGACGGGATGGAGACGATGTTTACGTGTAAGCAGCAGACGACGAGCCGCAGGTGTGCCAGATTTTTACTCAGACGATTACCCGCAGTGCAACCTGCCACTTGTTTCACCGACGGAGCTCTGTCGATACGGATAAGTACATATAATTGTCCATTGCACGCCGAAATCTTTTTTTTTTTTTTACAAAAGAGAGAAAAAAGGGGCAAAAAAAAAAAAAAACTGTTTATGTCAACTTCACAAAATCAGTTACAATAAACTCCGAAATCTAGAGCAGTAGTCTTGTATATGGTACATGCTTCTAAATGGGTCCAAAACCAGTCTCTATTCATTCTGTGGTATTGTTTATATGCGCCACTTTTCGTGCAG